GCGCGGCGTACCTTATGAGTTACGATTTAAAGACACTTGAAAATATGTGCAACACGTCACGATTTACCAAGTATATAGCTAACGAGGACGTTTATGTGACAGGGATGCTCTCCGAATTGCTCAATATTTCCTTAATTGATATGGGGGAATATTTTTCTAATATGGATAGCTATACATTGAAGGAAAAATCCGAGAAATACATGTTTTCAACACACATTAAAGATGATTATTCTTATAAAAACATTTGGAAGAACATTGAATCGAGATAAGAGTGAAGTTTTAATATTTCAAAAAAAGAAAAAATCTTTATTTATAATTATATTATTTTTGATATTTATAAATGAAAACAAAATATTTAATTGGATCTAAAATTTTATATCTTTTTTTCAAAAATCTTTTAAGGGTAGAATCTAATTAACAAATTTTATAACATATGATAATTTAGCATTTCATAGTAGAATTATTGAATATAAAATTACAATTACTTTTTTGTCCCACAGTCCATGAATCTTAATTTATATTTGAATTATTATGTTAAAGAACTGGAGTCAATTTTTTACTGCTATCAATATAAAACTCATTGACGGGCTTGAATAATTTAAAGGGAAAATTATTTGTTTTGAAATTAAAATTTATATCTACAAATATATTTTTGCTATTATAAAACAGGGTAGGAAAATTTAAGATAAGATATTCTATCCTATATTATTTACTTTTAAATGATTCCTATAATTGGCAGTTTTCAATTTTCAGTGACGATATCATCCTGAAAAAAAAATTCTTGGCTAATCTTCCTAATCTTTTTTTTTAAGTACCTTTATTTAATAGTCTAGCTTTTAGTCATGAGATGCATCATTATATTCATCAACGCTAAATGTATCACATATAATCAAGGATGATTAAATAAAGTTAGTCGAAGATGATGTGTTAAGAGATTGGTTGTTAGAGATAGGTCTAAGGGTGAACAAGATACCTTCTACAACTTTCATAAGACAATCAAGATTTAAACTTCCACCTCCCCCCACTCTTCACACGTACAAAAAATTAATAAATGGAGAACTGGGTTATATAACAGATGTTTTATTTTTATGTTATATCATTGGATAGCCTCATCATTAGACTAAATTTTTTTAGCAGACTTTAGTAAAAGTTTCCCATTTTTATTAGTTTTGCCAGCGACCTTGGGTATGGTGACAAGTTTCGAATTTCAACGATAAATATGCAGATAATTCATTTTAATTGTTTTAATTGTTATTGTCGCGATTTGACAATTTTTTTGGAGATTTAAATTATGTGATTATAAATATTTTTGTTTTGACTCATATATTGGATAAATAATTCTATTTTTTGGATATATTCAGGGATGAAATTATGAATATAGTTTTTGTAATTATAATAAGGCCTGGTAATGTTTTCGTATTAAATATGAAATTGGAAAAAAGTTATTTCTTTTTTTTGATATTGTTGTCATGTTTTTATTATAATAGATTAGATATGATATATAATATTCTTCTCTAATCTTTCCTTACTCATTATCTCTTTTTTTAAATACTGAGTGTTAATATTTTTATTTTAAATATATTATTTAATATAAAATTACTTCTTCTCAATTGGCTAACTTTGTTGAACTAATAATAGTTATAAATAGTAAATTATTAAAATTTTGGAAAAAAATAATTAGTCTTTCTTCACAATAAAGATATACTTATAAAAAATAGATAATTCCTGTAACAAAAAGGTATTTGTCAATTCAGTAAAATTAGTGCCGTTATATCAAATCTTCTGACTTTTTTACTGAAGAATTTGACATTTTATTCGAGTTAGAGTTAGATAAATCGTTCTATCAATGTTTCCAAGTAGACTAGAAACTCAGATTGTTTCATTAGACAAGACATTGGAGGTGATAATATCCTGTATATCTCATAAAATAAAGAGTAAGCTTTAACCTCAAAATAAAAAAAAATATCCAAATAAAAAAGCTGACGAAAAAAGCTAATAAATTGTTTCTGATTAATTATTTTTTTGAACTATTTAATGAACATATGATAGTTGGGCATATAAATACGTCTTATAAGCAAATTTGAAACAATTACCCTAAAGATAAAAGAGCTAAGAGGCTTGCACTTTTTACTTTATCTGCAGCATATCCTCGAGTTTCCTCTACTCACTCCTACCAAATCAAAATTAGCAAAAATAGGAAATAGATATTAGAACAAAAAACAACTAAGTCTACCTATATAGTTAAGCATAGAATAAAATGCTTTTGGGAAAAAATATCTCAGAGACCTATAAGCAGCATCTAATTAACCGGAGGGGGGGGGGGATAGCATAAAAATGCCTCCAATATATTCTGGGAAAGTGGTTAGTATTGATTTTTTTGGGAGTAATTAAATTTTTTTTTGGTGAATCAGCCATCACCAAGTACAATTTAAACCTAAAATAATCACTCAACAGTGGGCCTAGGTAAGGTAATGGGGTATTTAATTTTATAAATATATTTTTTAAACACGAAACATTTATCAAAAATACTCATTCGCAGATTTAGTGAATTCAAAAAAAGAATTTGATTGCCCCCCCCCCTTTATAAACGACAATTAGCCTAGACCAACGATTTAGTTATTAAAAGTTTACATATATTGAGGTCAGCTGTAGTCAATGTCATTGACTATCAGACGCCATTTTTTTAAAGTGCCTTTAAATTGGGGACTTAAATGCATTATAACGAATGAATAGTCACTCTAGGTTAGTATTAATTTATTCCATCTTAGCACTCAAATTTCTCTGATTCGAGTCTTATCATAAAAAAAAAATTTTTTTTTTTAAAAAAAACTAGAATTTCAATTATTATTAGAGTTGTCAAAAACCTCGATTTACGCGCCTTTAAAAAAAACAGCGAAATCAAGATTTTAGCTATAAAAAGAATGGCATCTAAGCCTCTAGAAGAGGCATATAAATTGAAAAAAGATTTAGCCCTCTTTACCAAATCTCGTGACTTATGTAATTTATTTATGGGGAAAAAAATGATTTGGGCTTATTTTTAAATTGAGCAGTTTTGATATACAGCTGAAATATAGACGAGGAAGAGAAAACTATTTACCCAATAGTCCCGATGTGGAGCTGGAGATAATTTGGAAGAGGAGAGACAAAAGGAATCTGATGAGAAAACGAGCAGACATTGATTCTTATAGTGACAGGAATATCCAGAGGAGGACATAAAGTGGAGGAACTCAAAAAGGCTACGCTAAAAGATCGCTAATTAACGCGAAGTATACTGGGTCAAAAACAATAGAAAGATGGAGAGAAAAAATTTAATTATCTAGAGAAAGAGTTAACGATAGCGAACGCGTGGCACGAGGAAATCGAGAGTAGTTCAAATTAAGGTAGGCGGTAAAGGCAATGATTCATGTGGGACATCAAGGAGTTAGTGAATCGTGAATATGTTGTGGTAGCCTGGATGAATAAAGAGAGTGAAGATATGAGCCGGAATTGTTTGATGTAATTCATGGGCGAGTATGCCTTGTTAAGAAAAGTATATGACCGAAGGCTACACACCATGGGAGCGCATACATGTTGATTTCTTTGACTTTGAAAACAAAATATATACTCGTCGTGGACGTCTATTCCAAATGGGTAGAGTACGAAGAAATGGGGATTGACAACTCAGATAGTGGTAAAGACAATAAAAAATCTTTGGGCTCGGTCCCGTGTTGCGAAGATAATGGTATCGGATAAAGGTCCCACCTTCATAAGTGCATAGTTCAAGTTATTTTGTGCTGATATCGGGGCGAGACACATTTTGGCGCCACCGTATCACCCGAGTTCGATGTCAGGCGGAGAGGATGGTAGCGGTTGTCAAAAAATGGTTATGAAATACAAAGTATGGAGGAGGGGATATTTTGGATGGCAGTGGTATATTACAACAGTCGAAAAGGGAGAAGAACAATGCACGGCTGAGAAGTATTTAGGGAGGGGAACCCTAATATAATAGTTTTTAAAGCAGAAACTGAATCAATAGGTAGAAGATATAAGTAAGACGTCTGAATTCGTAATGGGACACACCGTGTGGGTCAGAATATATGGTGGTAAAGAAAATGGGAATCCGGGGTGAAGATGGAAAACATTAGACACATATTAAATCGAGTAAAATTTATAAGAAAGAGAGGGAATACGGCATCTGGATGAATTAAAAAGGGGTGTGAAACCTGGGAGATTACGATCAGGAATATGAATAGGAGCATTTAATTGATCGAAATTTAGGGGCAACTATAGCAACGATAGGATATGGAGAGGGTTTGACTCGACATATATGCGATAGATAATAATAATGAAAAGTGGATCAGCAATTACCGGCGAACAAAGGGAGGATACTCAAGGTAACTATTATGAAAACACCATGAAAGGACAATATTTATGCTGAGGGTGAGGTTGAAGTGCGACGTTTGGTTTTTGATTAATGGGGGCGTGTCATATATATGATTTCTTCATGTAATTTTTTTTTGGAGAAGATTATTAATAAATTTATATTTATTTGTCAAAATGTGCAAGATATAAAAAAAAATATAAACATTAATAATATATTTTGTTAAAAATTATGAAATTAAAATTATATTCTTAAATTATATAATTTGGAAATTATAATTTTTATCATTTTTAATATTACAGAATTAGTTGTTTTATAATATAAAATCAAATAAAATCATTTCCCTTCTGGAAATAGTTGTACTGTTGATATTGGCTTTTAACCAGTAAGAAACAAATAAATATTATATTCTTTTTGTGTTTTTGGTGCTTTTGTTTGTTGTGTGTCTCGTGTTTCTTTTTATAATACCTCGTTGACAATTCATTCATTTAAATGCACAACTATACAAGAATATAATTTACATTCAAATTTTATAACCTAATTTCATAAAAAATTTGAATTATATTTTTATTTTAGAGAATTTTACAGGGATTAAAATGGAATGTCACGAACTAATTTATATTCGACGGCACTTCAAAATGCATTATAACGAACAAATCACCATTGCCTGTCTAGATAAATATTATATGCCAATCATATTATTTTTGGGCAAATAATATTAATCATATGATATGATATGAGTAAACATTCTCATTTATACAAAAAAAAAATTGGCGATGTTGAAGTAAAATATTTATATTTATTTATGATCTTCTAAATATATATTTTATTTTAAAATTTTAAGGATTTGAGAAGAAGGAGAAGTGAAATTAGTATAGAATTGAGAAAATCTAAGAAAGAAGAGATTTTTCAGAAGCGAAGGAATATTGAAAGCTTTAAAGATGACAATGACATAGATATAGATGATGAGGAAGCCAGTTCAACTCAAACTCAAACAGAGAAGATTAGAAAATATGTAGAAATGGCTTACGATAATGATTCTATAAATTCTTTTAAAGGAATTCAAAAAATTAGGTTGATTATAATATATATTTTTATTTTTAAATTAATTAAAACATTTTGTAGATTTATTTGTGTTCATTAAAAAAATATATTTAAAGAATTTATAATCAATTTTGATACTTTTATGAAAATTTATATTGTTTTCCTTGATAAAAAATTATTGCTAGCCAGACAAGACAACTTGTGGAAAATATATTTTATGAGCCAAGTGGGGTAAAAATTATTACAGACCAAAATACCCCAATAGAAAACTTTCACTTGTTGGTTCAGGCCAGCTTGTTTTGCCTAACTTCATTTCATATATTTTCAAAAATAATTTGAATGAACTTATTTGGCACATTATATTAATATTATTTCTGATATTTGTTATTCTTATTTATTTATAAATCTATATATTAAATTCTTGATAGGTTATTTAATGTTAAGATTTAAAGATATTCTATATGTTATGTAATCCACATTTCTTTTTGAAAGTTTATAAATAAATTAATTTGCTTTTTTCAAAAATATTATAAGGCCATATTAAGTCTTAATGCTTTATTAAAAAATTATGTTACATAAATATAATTATAAATATGCTTAAAAATAAAAATAGAAAACTTTTGGCATCAAGTCACAAACCTCCGATAGACAAGCTTATCAACTTGAATATATTGCCAAAGCTTATAGAATGTTTGCAGAAATATGACCAGTAATTTTTTGAAAAATTTAAAATTATACATATATATCAATAAATATTATATTATTTAGGCACATATAGGAGAAAATCTGCTTATCATTGTGGTACCAGTTAATTGATTTCTACTTTATTCAAATTTGAGCTATATTTTAAAAAATAACCAATACTTCTATCTCCTGTTTATAGCAAGCTAAAATAACTTCTTAAAATACAAAATTTAACTATATTAATATTTTTATTTAGTCAATTATAGTTAAAAATGATTGAACACATTAGGATTAGTGCACAGAGATATAATATTTGATAATAAAGGAGCCTGTTAAGGCTCAGAAAAATAAAAAATAAGGAAATTAAAGCTCCACTCATATAAATTTAATAAATATAATCGTTCCAGATAAAGGAATTATTAAAGTTTAATATATGCTTAAATGCTTTCTATTTTAAGTTTAAATTGATAATATTAAACACAAATTAGCATTCATATTTAGATTTGATGTATATTAATGGTGAACAATAGGAAACATATTGTGGTTGCCCATAAGTATATATTAATCATCCTTATAATGCATATTTTTTTAAAATTAACATTACAATTACCCTTGAATGATCTGTTTTAATGGTAATTAATTAGTAAATTTTGGTACAAAAAATCTATTATCAGATATGAGCATTAGCAATAAGCAGAGTTTGTAAGGGCAAGAGCTGAGCTTGAATTTTCTGATTTCAGTTCCTAAATTTGGCACAGATTCTCTACTTCCGAACATCTGTTAAAGCAATCAAAAATTTTTTAAACAATATAATTTGTATTACATACATTTATGGTGCACACAAATTGAGCGTTTCAAACGCTGAGTTGCAAGCGCAAATAATGCATTTCAAATGGCCTCATGCAAATTGGTAAAATTACCGTTTGGCGTTAGCAACCATTTAAAAAATCGGAAATAGTTTTGCTTTCTCATTACTTTTTTTTTATTCTTCGCTTTGTAATATTATATAAAAATGTCATATAATATTTTGAAATTAAAGAAATAAGAACGCAGACGATAATATAATTTTCAATGACAAATTATTTTTTTTTAGAACTTATTTAAGATTTTGAATCGACTAAACTGCTCTACGTTTTTTTTAATTAAAAATTTACGGCAAAACGTAAACGCTCAATTTGTGTGCACCATTATGTTAGTAGAATTCTGAAAAATTTTATAAAAAATTAGCTGCTGATATCCGGTTTTAAACTCTGGCCATAAGTAAAATTAATTTTATGCACCCTCATTCCATATTGATATATCTAGAGATGAAAAAAAGACGCCAAATCCAGTTGCTACTACATACAATCAATATGGCGATAAATATATTACATGCCAATATTTTGTCGCGAATTTCATTGCCACACTGATTTTTATAATTTACTCATTTTTGTTTAAATTGCGCTTATTTTATATAAAAAAAAGTGGCTTAAATTTTTTTAAAGATAATATTTCATTAAAAATGATTTTTTTTTTATAAAAAAAAAACTAATATCTCTCTAGGCAGTTTTTTTTCCTGTTTTTTTCTCTCATTTTTTGTTTTTTTACCTCCCTAGATATTATCTGTTTGTATTTGGCCAATTATAATAATATTGGCATATATTGAAAACAATAGATACATTTACGATATCTGTTTGTTGTTTGGCTAATTATAATAATATTGGCATATATTGAAAACAATAGATACATTTACGATGTCTGTTTGTTGTTTGGCTAATTATAAAAATATTGGCATATCATATTGAAAACAATAGATACATTTACGAATATATTGGATCTCTTTTTCCACTATCAATAAAAATTTAGGCCCGAAACACAGTTCGAAGCGTGCTGGGCACTCACAAACATAGCCTCTGGTACGAGCGAACAAACCAAGGCTCTCATAAATTCTGGTGAGTGACATAATTTATATTTCCATTTCCTTTATTTTGCTTAAAAAATTTTTTATTTTAAGCGAAAGATATTTTGCGGGTCTCAAAAGTTCTGAATAAAAAAAAATTCCGGAAACCCGAAAACTAGCGAACCCGGACCGGTTATTTAAAAAAAATAAAGTGGCCAGGATTCCCTGAAAAATATTAAATTTAAAAAACATTCGTCTGTTTACCTATTTGAAAAAAAATCCCACGCATTCGTTTATTTAGTAATTTTTTTTTCTACTCCATCTTTGATACCGGTTTACGAAATATGACGAACATAAAAATTATGAATAATTCTTGTCAAAGGGCGCCATCTGGCAAGGTCTTTGAAATCAATTTTTGAAAACTGTCACTCACTTCACTATTATTGTAAATGAAGTATATCGTAACCAAAATTAAAGAAACAGAATATTTAAACTGTCTGAGTATTCATTCATTAAAAATTAATTTCCAATTTAATGTTTAAATTGTTTATTACGGGGAAACCAAAATGGCGTGACACCAGCTGATTTCCACTGAATATAAATATATGAATCGTCAGTTTTACATATTATTATTTTTTATATGTAATTGATCACGATGCGCTCTAGACTCCTCTAAGCCAATGATGCTGAACCCCCCCTCTCCAACCATATTACGATAGACAAATGATAAACTATATACGAGCTGTGTGTTGATTATTAAGAGGTACCCCCCCCCTCTCACCCGCGAGATCTTAACGACGCCATTGACTCGTAACCAAAAGAAAGGAATAAAAAAAAAGAGAAGAAAGAAAAGAAAAGAAAAGAAAAGAAAAGAGAGGAAATAGATAGTTAAATAAATGAAAACACTTCATTAGCATAATACTTTAAATTTTGAAAATTGATACCTGACTTAACATCGGACGTTATCATAATTCAAAAAATCGATTTATTTACTCTTTAAAAAACCATAAAGTTAAGAAGAACCGTCTTAACAATGTTGAAATCAATGACGTATATAATATCTAGACTGACGATTCATTCATTAAAATGCATTTTTTAAGCGTCGTTAAACGCAAATCAGCTGGACCCGCCATTTTGGTAACACATGTAGTAATTATTCTCATGTTAAAAACTACTATTAAACTGATAACTTGCTTCCTTATTATCTCGACGATCCCGTAATTCTTCAATAAAGTTTGCATTCAGATATAGGAATAAATTAGGCTCTCGTTTTAAAATTTTAATAATGATTAGTGTAACCAAGATGGCGTCTCCAGCTGATTTGCATTGATGTAACACTTTTAATGAACGAATCGTCAGTCTAGTTATTATTATATATGTCATTAATTGAAATATACTTGAAAAAGTTGCAGTTTTTTTTTGTGGCATAAAAAAATGAAACGAAACCTTAAAATTTAAGCGCAATAATATATATATATAATTGAAAATATTGCGTTTTTAGGTGCCTTACATTGGCTAGTTAACCTGCTGTCTTCCCCACATATCAAGGTATGCGAACAGGCCACGTGGGCTTTGGGCAACATTATAGGTTCGTAAATTTTTATCATATATGATTTACAATTACATCTATTTACGCGTATCTTCTTGTTAGGATCAGAAACCTACATGGGCGGCGCCCGTGACCGATAGGCTCACCGGATATGGCCCTATTATTATATTTTCTAGCAGATCGGACCTGGATATAGGAATTTTTTTGACTGTTGGCATGGACCGGGCGAGATCTAGAAATTAAGATTCGTGAATGTCTCTGATTGGGTCATGGAATTGAGATTGGCATTCGATCTAAATTTTAAATTATTTATCGGGGGCTCCTTTTTGTCATAAACAAATTTTTTTTTAAAAAATTTATTTATATGAAAAATATGTTTAAAAATTGATATACAAATTTAGACAAAATTGTTTTGAAATTCACTTGTCGATTCCTCTATACATGCCGAAATAAATTTTTCGGTTAGATCAGAATTTTAAAGTTTGCCTTCAGTAAATGACTGGCTAACCTTGCATTCACAGTTGGCGCGTTGGTATTCTTCCCCACGCGATTTTTTTATACGCCTCGAATTCGCACTAACCAAGAATGCGAGATAATATAGCGGTATCGAAGAAAGACTAGAAAATATTTATGGACCAGTTTAAGGTCAGGCCTTATGGCCCCATACCCATTTGTAAATATTACTGTTATATTTATTCGCGTTTATTTACAACCGAATAATCAATAAGGTGACGGTCCGGGACCTAGAGATTCCGTCCTCTCTTCCGGTTTGCTCCCACCCTTCCTAACACTCTTAGACCGGGCCTTAATCGCGCTGGCGGACCAAGGAACCTCATGCCCAACAACCGAGCCCAGCAAAGGGGACGATTACAAGGAAAACGATAAAAGTAAAAAATAGAGATATCGTTAAAAAATATTTTTCCCGGGAACTTTATTTGAGGTAGAAAGAAAGTAAATAAAGAAAGAAGGAAATTTATTTCTATTTTCTTACACACATTTTAAAAAAAACAGCTGTTGTGTAAACTTAAAAAAAATAAAACTCACAGATAAGAATAAGGAACTCTCGTTGGTCCGAAACCTAGCCTGGGTTATAACCAACCTTTGTAGAAATAAAAACTCGCCCGTGGGTACCGACGCTATAGCCTTGCTCTTAATCGCGATAGTCAAGATATTGCAAGTCTGCAATGACTCGCAGGTAATTCCGATAATGAATTTTTTTTTCCTTCTCTTTCCTTGTGGACCATAAAATTTCAAATATTATTTCGTTTTTAAAATGGAGGTAGGAAAAAAAAAAGAGTTATGTTAAGAGAACAACATGCTTCTTCTTTCTATCCACGACTTCTTGAAGTCTTTAGTTTGCAAATGATATGGTATAAATGCAGAAATGTTAGGGTTATGAGTGTTTCATTCCCACCTAAGATTTTTGATAAAATTTGTATATGCAAATTAAAGTTCATTTAACTTAGACACTAACGCAATGGTAGCCCCCTTGTCCTCAGAGACCTTCATGGGCCTTAATTTTTTGACCAAGCCCTGCCCAGACCCGCGTAAAAAATTTCTCAAGCCCAGGCCCGTCCCATATTTAATATCAAAAAAAAAATTTCCAAGCCCATAACAAGTTTCAAAAAAATTTCTCAAGCTCGGCATAAAATCCATTTCCCAAAAATTTAATGTATTATATTTAATAAAAAATAATAATAAACAATATTTAAGTGTATTTAGGCCATCATTTTGTCTTACAATACTGAAATTTCTTATTATTATTATAAGAAAGAAAGAAAGAAAAAAAATGGCCATACTTCTTTAAATTGACAACTGTTTTATAAACAATCTAAGTTTAAATTTAATAATTTTAGGGCCCCCAACCTCGTTAAAATAAATTTAAAAAACTCGGTCCCGCTAGAAAATATGATACTCGGCCCATGGGTCTGCGGGCCAGACCGCCCGACCCATGAAGGTATGCTAGTCCCTACCCTTTATTCTCTTATTAGAATAAAATCAACTTCTATTTGACATGGAATGGTACAGGCATAAATATGATATCGATAAATCTCTCCTTACCCTAAAAATGAATACGATAAAATTAAATTATTTTATATAAAGATTTTAATTGATTCTCTATGGGCCATATGCTATGTCACGGACATCGGTAACGACCATATTCAGGTAGATTATTTTCGTATAAAATCATTACATTCATTATATTTCATTTATTTATTACGTTTCATTTATTCATTAATATCCATTTCTCTCGAATTTATTTATCCCAATTTTTTATTATTTTATTACGCTGCATTCAATATTATATTCCATTCATTCTTTTCATTACCATTTTTATTTTATATTTACCCCTTTTTGCATATACCATTTTTACGATAATTATTTGATAAATAACTCAGGGACCCGGATTGAACCGTAACGAACCGCTCAACCATTATAAACCGTTATAATATCCGAACCATAACCGTAACCGAACGGATATAATAATTTTTTGAAGGAATAAAAAGAACCTTTATAAAAAAAGTTAAACCGGTTCAAACCGGTTTAGTTTTTATATTTTAGAAAATGGAAATAATTTGAATATCCAGAATTATATACACTTGCTCTTATAGTACTGATGGTTCCCGCAAACAAAAGTTTCTGTAGAAAGGGCCTTTTTGGGGCTAAAATTTGCGTTATCCTCTCACAAAACATATATGAATACATTTATATTTAGAAAATATATTACTTATGCGTCCAAACAATATATTTAAAGATGTATTATTTTGAATCTTATATATTTTTTTTTATATATATAATTCGTTGATGCATATAATAAAAATAAATTAGACGATGGTGTTGCTTCAATAAAAAAAAATTTTTTTTTAAACCGTAATGAACAATTATAAGCCTTTACAATTAGCTGAACCGAACTGAACCTTTATAAAATTTCTTCTTAAGAACCGTATTCAAAACGTAACCATTATAATTTTTTACACACTTTGCCGTAACCAACCCGAACCGTTATAAATAACGGTTCGGGTCCCTGAAATAACTAACTAACTAATAATAATAATAATAATAATAATAATAATAATAATCCTTTTATTTCGTATCATATAGTTCGTTATAGATATCGGTCTCATCGATGGTGTTGCTTCAATAAAAAAAAAATTTTTTTTTAAACCGTAATGAACCATTACAAACCTTTACAATTAGCTGAACCGAACTGAACCTTTATAAAATTTCTTCTTAAGAACCGTATTCAAAACGTAACCATTATAATTTTTTACATACTTTGCCGTAACCAAACTGAACCGTTATAAATAACGGTTCGGGTCCCTGAAATAACTAACTAATAATAATAATAATAATAATAATAATCCTTTTATTTCGTATCATATAGTTCGTTATAGATATCGGTCTCATAAACATCATCGTGCCGTTTCTAAGCCACGTGAACTATAAAGTCAAGGTAATATTCCACTCCCCCCCCCCCTTATTGACATTTTGACACAGCCGCCATAATGCCCTTCGTTCAAATCTGAATTTTTTTTTTTTAAAATGGTTTACTCAAAAACAAAAGATATTATAAGTATAATTTAAAAATGAAATGCCGAATAAATTAAAACTAATAAATTTAAGGATAAATATTTGTTCTATTCAATTACTTTAATTTATAATTTTTATTAAACTTTAAAATGTATATACGTACAACAAAATAAAAACGAGAGAAAAAAATAATATAACATTTCTTCTTCTTTTATATAAACACAAAAAATTAGAAATATATATTATATAACATAACCTTCTCGGAATATAAACATTAACATTTTTATCAATATTCAAAAACACTCTTTTCTTTTCTTTTCTTTAATTTTTTTTTCTTTTGCTTTATTCAAATCTACTACACCCCCTCTCCTTAGATCTCTTCCCCTAAGGCAAAAGTCTCGATTCCTTCTCTACTCCTCTATGCGTCTCTTCCGGCATTGTTAATGCTTCGTTATTGATAGTCACGATTTGATTATTACGATACCGCATCAAGTGATCGCCTCCACATAGTCAACACTGTCAGGTTCTTGGGTCTATTGTAAGGATGATTTCTGTTTTCTAATTTCGGCTCTTGCAACTGGATGTTCTCTTACTTCATTAATCATTTCCCCATACACTCTGGCAGCTTCTTCTCTCGCCAGTTCTTAACCAATTCCATAATATTATCTATCCGTCTATCATCCTGATTTCTATTATTAGGATATGATTTCCTACTCTAATATAATGTGTGGACATCTACAAATAAAATTACTATGCATCAAATATTCTTCTATTCCACAACTTATGTTCTATGACCAAATTTTGCTTCTTCCAACAATTTTTATTCCATCTTCTTTTTAGCCATAAATTTTGTTTACTTCCCAAAATTTTCTTTTTCTACATAAAATTTTGGTTTTCAATCCCAAAATTTTCTTTTTCTACAACAAATTTTGCTTCCTTCCCAAAATTTTCCTTTATATTATAACTTCTATTCTCTGCCGTATTTGCTTTATATGTCTATGCCCTAATACCTAGTTGTCCTTCAATTTCTATTTCCACTTTCTTTTTTTTACTATGTTTTTCCTTATTACACCCTTCCCCCATTTAATAGGACCATCGAACAATAATACCCATACAAAACTACCTACTGGACATTTCTCAATCTCTATTTGTTCTCTACTTTTCTCTTTTTCCGTCAAAAAATCTAATTCCGGTCTTATTTTTTCTTCCCTAAAAATATTTCCGCTGGCGGCCTTCCTTTTGCCGTCTCATCCTTACAATAGACCCAAGAACCGGACAGTGTTGGCTATGTGGAGGCGATCACTTGATGCGGTATTGTAATAATCAAATCGTGACTATCAATTAACGAAGCATTAACAATGCCGGAAGAGACGCATAGGGGAGTAGAGAATGAATCTAGACTTTTGCCTTAGGGGAAGAGATCTAAGGAGAGGGGGTGTAGTAGATTTGAATAAAGCAAAAGAAAAAAAAATTAAAGAAAAGAGTGTTTTTGAATATTGATAAAAATGTTAATGTTTATATTCCGCGAAGGTTATGTTTAGTTAATATTTTTTATATAATATATATTTCAAATTTTTGAGTTTATACAAAAAGAATAAGAAATGTTATAAAATTATCATTATTTTTCTCTTGTTTTTATTTTGTAAATTGAAGTAATTGGAAAAAAAAGCAAATTTTATCCTTAAAATTATTAGTTTTAATTTATTTGGCATTTCATTTTTAAATTAAACTTATAATGAGATTCTCCCACGAAAAAACGTAGGACATGTCCCATCTTAACACATTTACGCTTTATCAAAAAAGTAAGGTTGTTTTTTTTTGCAATTATTCTTAAAAGAAATAAAATGATTTATTGTTAAGTTTTCACGTTATCTATCGGAAAAAACTAAATTTGTTAACATTTTTTGAGGTGTTTAAATCGTGAATTTTAATCAAGAATACCAGATTCGTATGTTAATAAAAAAAATACTTTAGACATGCCACTTAGTGTTTTCAATATTTTAGCCAGAAAAATATTGCCTAAGCCTCGCGATTTCGATAATATGTGTCTAGAACTTTGTTCCTTCTATTAGCAAAATCTTCAGGCTTGAGTCATATTTTCCTGGATGAAGTATTGAGTCAGCCCTTTTTTAAAAAATCAACTTAAAACGAGCCGTTTAACAACACTAACATACCACATCGGATTTAACGATTTTTAAATTTTGTTTTTTTTTAAAAAAAAATATCTAATCACGTTATCTACCGGAAGTACCAAATTTGTTAACATTTGTTGAGGTGTTTAAATCGTGAATTTTATTCAAGAATACCAGAATCGTATGTTAATATCAGAGTTGTTTAAAGATACTTTTTAAATGAATCTAGATACAGATACATCGTCTAAAAATAATATCTAGATACCGATATTTTAATCAACAATCTATCTAGATACAGACACAGATACCACATTTTTTTATCTAGATACAAGATCTAGATCCTTTAAAACAACTTCTGATTTAAAAAAACGTTAGGGGTGCCGCATAGGGTTTAACCAGTGTTGTTAAACGGCTCGTTTTCAGCCGATTTTTAAAGACGGTTAACTCGATATTTCCGCCAGAAAAAAAATATTGGCTAAGGCTCGAGATTTCGCTAATAGATGTCTAGACATCTGTACCATCTATGAGCAGAATCTTCAGGCTGGAGTAATTTATATTCTGAATAAAATATTGAGTTAGCCGTTTTTAAAAATCGGCTAAAATCGGGCCGTTTTTTAAAATCGGCTCAAATCGATACGTTTAATCAGAGTAGGTTTTAACAATTTTTTAGAATTTATTTTAAATTATCAAATTTCAAAAATTTTAAATTATCAAATTTCAAAAATTTTAAAAATATATATATAGATTAAATACTTATATAATCTTTAAAATATTAAAAAAAATAATGGAAGGAATTTAAAAAGATATATTGTCAGGCATAGAGCCGAGGATGAAGATAAATTATATCTACCTATCTTGATAGATATTCTTTGTCTAAGGTAGAAAGAAAGAAAGAAACGAAAGAGAAAGAAAGAAAGAAAGATAAGAAAGAAAGAAAAGAAAGAAAGATTTTCTTTAGAATCTCCAGTGATTAAAAATAAATAAATATATATTAAAGAGTAGCTTAAAAAGTTCACGGCCTAATTGTCTGAAATTCTCAAGTGCGGTTACTGGTATACATAGCTGGAATACATTTGCTGTCAAAAACGGATTTTTCAAATTTTAAAGATCACTCACACCCTCAATTCCCCCTAAATATGAGACATATACATTTCAATAATCGAAATTATTTTTTTTCTGAAAAAATAAAGTAAACGTAATTTTTTTTGTATTTTAAGACCTCTGCACTGAGAGCCCTGGGTAATATAGTGACCGGAACTGACACCCAAACTCAACTAGTGATAGATTCGGGAATATTGCCTTACTTTCACGATATGCTGCAACAGACAGATGACGAAAAATTGATTAAAGTGGGAAATATATATATTAATTTTTTTTTAAGACCTGCAATAATTTTTGAATTAAGGCCTCGTTTATAGTAACCCGCGAAATATTGCGGTATTCCATCAACGTGGCAGCGGAGTGGCAATGTCTTCGTGCGGCTAATGGAGGTGTGAAAGGCTCCCTGCTGTTCTGGGATAAAATATTATCACCTTTTCCCTCAACCGGGTTTAAAAGTCACCTAAAGTCTCTGATGCCAGGAAGGGACAACATCTGATTGTAAAAAAAACGCCCCAAAATTCTTATGCTATCGCTTAGCAATGAATTACGCAGCATCGCTGGAGCCACATTGTGGTTTATTGTGCCTTTGCTATAAACGAGGCCAGAGATTATGAGCAGGCGATTTTCCAGCAAAACTCCCATAATATTTAAACAATTCTTTTCCCCAGATTGTTCTATAAGTCGACCCACTTTGATGGAGGAGGTTGGGGGGGTTTCTCAGTCGTAATTGTTTTGTTAAAAATGCCATAATAGATGACAACAAGTGATGGCCCCTTTTAACCCAATTCTTTCAACAATTTGAGAGATTTTCTCCTAATTTATAACTTGAAAATGATCACATATCACCTTAGGAATCTCTTTGGTTTCTTTCCAACATCGCTGCTGGTAATAAGGATCAAATTCAAACGCTGTACCAATCGGGACTTATGCCAGCTATCATCCAATGCTCTAAAAGGGTAAACTTCTTCTTTTTTTTAAAAAAAAAAATGGGCTCCCTTAAGTTTGTAAAAAGCTAGCTAATACGTGCCAATCAATACGATTAATTTATAATTTGTACTCTTATCCTGGATTCCTAGTGGGATCCGATCCTACACGATTTTAACAGCTGATCAATTTTTCTTTTTTTTTTAAAAAAAAATCGGTATTTACTAGATTCAATTCTTCTTTATTAATTATATCGATTTTAATAAAGATAAAAATTGTCCGGCGTTAAATCGTGATCGGACACCGTTATCGATCCATCCTTAGATTACGACGACCATAACGGAGACGATGCGTTTTGTTATAAAAAATAATAAATCTCTTATTTAAATTAACGTTGTTAAACGGCTGAACAACCGATATTATTAGTCAAAAATATTGCGCAAACCTGGAGATTTTGCTCATAGATATAGTAGGAATGACTGTATTCGTCTATCAACGAAATTTGGAAGTTTGCTTAATTTTTTTTGGGCTTAAATATTGGATTGGCCGTTTATAAAATTCGAGGCGTTTAACATCACTACTCCGTTATAATGAATGCGCATACGACCCATGACTTTTACAATGACATATAGTATAATGATACTTAGACTGACGATTACATTCATCAAAAGTGTACATCAACGAAAACAGCTGGAGACGCCATTTTGGTTACCCGTATCATTATTTTTAAAAAAAAAATTTTAAAACGAGAGGCCAATTTATTCCTATCTCCTGACGCAAACTATTAATTAAAGGATTGCCTGATCGTCGAGATGACAATGAAACAAATTATCAATTTAAATAGTAGTTTTTAACACGAGAATAATTTACTTATAAGGGTTACCAAAATGGCGGGTCCAGCTGATTCGCATTCAAACGTTCGCACGCGCTATTATGAATGCATCGTCAGTCTAGGTATTATTATATGTCATTAAAATCCACCTTCTTTTTAAAATGAATTAGGGGGGGGGGGAGAATTAAAATCTATAATTATTGATTTCTAGGAAATATCGAAAAACGTCCATAAATGTCAATTACAAATCGACAGATTCGACATATATATATATGTTTGTGTTTATCAATATGTCGCCTGAGGGATTAAATTGTTCTATATCCGATTATTTGATAAATCAATTTTTTTTTTATATAATTATACTATTGTATTTACTACGCACAAAAAAAAATTTGGGATATATATAATTGTTGCAATCTGTACTTATTTGATTATTTATTGTATATTAATCCTTCAACCAATGAATACAATATCGTGATATTATAGAATAGAATACCCAATATGACAATATTACAATTATAAACGAAAACGAATGTATGAAAACTTATATTTTTTTCCCCAATTTTATATAGTAAAGATATAATAATAATAATAATGCTTGATTGACAGCTCTCAACACTCCAATCTTCAATCGCAACGAAAATAAGTTAGATTACAGCTAGTGCTGCTAATCGGCTTAATTTGAGCCGATTTTTGAAAACGGCTAACTCGATATTTTTTTTCCCAGAAAATTATTATAACGCCTAAAGACTTTGCTCTTAGATGGCACATAGGATTAAACATCTGTTGGCAAAATCTCGACTTCCTGGTCGTAATGTTGAGTTAGCCGTTTTTAAAAATCTGCTTAAATCGAGCCTTTCAACAACAGGTGTTAGATATTTAAATTGCTCTCCCTTATAATTACAAAAAAAAAAGTGGAGATAGGATAATCTTATTCTCGGGCGTTGAATATACAAAATTATTATTTATAAAAGAAAAGGCGGGCTATAAAAAAGAATTTCATTCGTTTTCGAATATTCAATTATTCGTTTTCGAATATTCAATTATTCGTTTTCGAATATTCAATTATTCGTTTTCGAATATTTTGTCTTGCGAAAGAAAATCGCGCGAACCTTTTCTTTTCAAAGTTCTTGTGTTGGGAAAAAAAGTCGACAATTTTTTTTTATTTTTTTTTGTAGCAATAATTTTTTATGTTTATTTATTTTTAAAAAATATTATTTATTATTTAAATATTTATTAAATTTTGCGAATTTATGTTCCGGTCAACTTAAGCCGCAATTCTACATTCAAAAAGAATCGATTTGGACAGTGGCTAATTTTATATTAGGCGGCACTCCCGAACAAGTACAATATTCTTTTTTTTACACAATAATATTTGCTAGTGTTTGGTTAAATGTAGTGTTGTTAAACGGCTCGTTTTGAGCCGATTTATAAAAACGGCTAACTCAATATTTTAACCGAGAAAATATTTGCTAAGCCTCGAGATTTCGAGAGTATATGTCTAGACCTTTGTTCCTTCTATGAACAAAATCTTCAGGCTTGCATAATGATTATTCTGGATGAAATATTGATTTAGCAAGTCTGAAGATTTTGTTCATAGAAGGAACAAAGGTCTAGACATATACTCTCGAAATCTCGAGGCTTAGCAAATATTTTCCCGGTTAAAATTTTGAGTTAGCCGTTTTTAAATCGGCTCAAAACGAGCCGTTTAACGACACTAGTTAAATGACCTGACTTGTGGCTAAGTCAAGCTTTTAGCCTAAAAGGTAAAATAGAATCGAGCACTCTTAGTCGAGAGGTCTCAACTTGGAGATATGATTGGAATTTTTTTTGGCTAAAAACATGATTACGCTGTTTTAGAGTTGATTAAAGTTGGGTAGTTTTAAAACAACACCTCGTATTTGCTTAATTATTCGAATACGAATAGCGAATAATTAATTATTCGGATAAAATGATTATAATAATATTTTAAAAAAATCGTATTTTGTAGCTCCCAAATTTTATAAATTTTTATGTTGAATTCTATTTTCACTTGGCTTTTGTAAAAATGGAGTGTTTTGAAAGAAAAATTTTTTTTAGAGAATGTTTTGATATCAACTTTTAAAAGATTTTTTTTATACAATGCAAAATTGCAAAAAAAAATTTAATTTTTATAAGATTTTGGCATTTTTAAGGTAAAATTTGCACGAAAATTGTTCTTCTTCAAAGAAAGGGGATTTTTTTTTTTTCAAATTGTGTTGTAAAGATTTGTGCAGGCCAGCTGACTTGCGTAAGAGACCTATGTTTTTGGGTAAGGCTGAACTCGCTGAGATGATTTAACGGCTGATGGTAATTTATAAAATTAAACTAGATCAGCTGTTAAATCACGTCTTACTTACAGGGGCGCGATCCGAGCAGAGATGAGCGCCATTTCGGCATCCATTTGTTTATTTATTTTCATTTATTATACATTTTTTTTTTTTATCAGAATTATAATATTAAATGAAAATTTTTTTTTTTTTAAAAAAAAACATTGAATTGGTTTTTCGGTTTTCTCGTGGCATCATTAAGTTAGGTCCCTACTTTACCCGTCATCGTCAGTTTAGCGGACACTTTTGCCACAGCGGAAGAGCCGACTCTGGCCGGGAAAGGAGTTGATGATGATTTTTTTTTCTCGCCCTCATGGCTGCAATCGTGTTTGTCACACTATCTATAAAGAATTAAAGGAATCCCCTCAGCCCCCCCCCCCGATAAAGTTACCAATAACTTTTCATGTATATCATGGCTTTACTTTCAAGCGCTGCACCAAAAAAAAGACACACTTTTTTGAACCATAAGCTGATAGATAGGTAGAGAAAAAATCTACCTAATTCCTCTTATAGGCATACATATTTTTTTTTTTTTGCGAGAAGCTCACAGTTGCCCCCTAAATTTTACCCGCGTATATATAATCTTATTTTTTATTTTTTGTTACGAGTCGTGTACCGCCCTATAATATATTTAATTGCTATAATTTTTTTTTATCTTCGATTCTATCGACCCGATCACGAATAAATGAATAGTAAAAATAAAATAAAATATAGACGTAATACCCTATAATGCCCCAAGAAAGTTAAACTTGACAGTTAGTCACTCTTAATCGCGCCGATGATTCTAACCTCCCAACCCCTACTAACCGACTAATATATCACTGTATGATCCTTGTATTCAAAATTCACGATTTATATAATATAATTACGAATAGTAAAATAATAAATATAAATATAGACGTAATACCCTATAATGGCCCAGGAAAGTTAAACTTGACAGTTAGTCACTCTTAATCGCGCCAATGATTCTAACCTCCTAACCCCTACTAACCGACTAATATATCATTGTATGATCTCAAAATTCACGATTATGAACAACTTCTTTTTTTTGTAAAAATTAAATAGGTGATATTGCTCGTTCTCCAAACTGAGGCTATCCCATCGCTATGCGATCGCCTCACCATTAAAGACCCCCAACTACTCAAAATAATATTGCAAAGTCTCAGTTGCGTTCTCAAATACGCGGCCCGCTCGTCTCAATCACTGGAATCACGCGATAACGTTACATTGAACATCCTGGTTCAGCAGATAGAACAATGTGGAGGTAATTTTTCAATTTTATTTTTCTTGTCATTTCTGTTGGGCGTATCGTGATGCATCCTAAAATATAATATTTAGCGATGAATATTTCTAGCAAATTTTCTGAGAATGGATTTATCTCGGTATATCGAACCAATTAAATATAATTTCTTAATTGTATTATAGAAAATGCATAAAAAAATAACAAAATTATGTAGCATTACATAATCATTATTAATTTTTAATTCATTGACCAATGAGAAGATGTAATGGGGAAGGTAACGTGATTACCAGTGCATATACTTATGTCAATCATTAAAAATAAATAAATCTCCAAACCCGTTATAACTAGATTCCAAGGTTTTTATAACTTGTTCTGTTTTCTCTCCTTTCAAAATTTTTTTTCATAACGTTTTCGTGGTTCAGTTTGACGCCCTAGTTTAAATATAGAGGCAACTGGTTATCATTATTTGGCTGGCGTTGGCGGAGATTAGTTTCTATACGAAATGTTAAGGTTTATAATTTGTATACAACTCCGAACATTATCAGTTCGTAAAACATTGTTAATCATTATATCTCCTTTTGTATTTTTACCATTTATTCCTCGAGGTGTGTATAGTGAACACAAGTTCCAGATTAAAGACCCTAATTTATGTTAATTGTTTGTAAAAATGATTGTTTATATATATTATATAAAGAAAACATCTGTTTAATTTAAAAGGATTGGATAAAATAGAATCCCTGCAAAGACACGAAAACGCCGAAATTTACGCCGTATCCAATTCCATCGTTGACATATATTTTTCCCATCAGGTTTTTTTATTAACTTTATTTTTATTTTTTTAAATACATTTAAAAAATGACAATAAATCAATCCAATGAAACTTCAACTATAGAAGAATTTTTAATTAAAATAAAATATATATAATTTAACGAGTGCACCTGAAGTGAGGAGAAGGATTTAAAGGTCGGGAAGTTATGGGCTAGAATAGGGTTAATTAAAGGTTTGAGATATAATAAAATTTGTTTTATATTAATAACCTTATCAGATCTATAATCAAATAAATCAGGTGGTATAAAGGCAATGCAATTTCTTTGAATCGAACCCATAATCAGAGGGGAAAAAAATTTATAACCAAAGTTTGTAACCTAAGGATTTTGCAGTTCTGAAATTTTTTTTTTCTTTCTAAAATAAGGCCTTATTTCCGAGTTCCTAGCCTATGCTAAGCATTCGTAAGGAAATTATCCACATATTTTTTAAACAATAAAACCGGTTCTTGGGAATTTATTTTCTTCTTTTAAAATACGGGGGACGGGTTTCTATAAATTTTAAAATAGGTTGTTCTGTCTCCAAATTAAATATGACCAATGAGTATGTGGGGTGGTTGAGAAAAATCGCCCCAGGGACTTTATTCCGAGAAAAATATTATGCAACGCGGAAGAAGAGATTGCTCATAACGAGCACAATGGTTTGGCATCTAGCTAAAATCTTGAGTTAGCCGTATTTAAAAATATCGGCTCTCAAATAGTTTGGCAATTTTTTATACTTGTAACATCCTCATTTCATTATTATTCCATATCAAGTTTTCATATTTTTCGAATATTTATATTCAAATCAATGTTTGAAGATTTTAATTGATTATAAATTAATATATATATAATAAAAATTTTTTTTATATAAGTGTCAAAAAATAAAACGGAAAAATGTTACCCTTACAATTAAATTATTTTTTTCTATAAGAAAAAAAATCTATTTTTTAAAAACGTTGCTATTTAAATCATAAATTTTAATCGATATTATTAAAATATTTGGTATATAAACCTGTTTTAAAATGCCTCCAAAAAAAAACCTTTATTAAATATTCTAAAACGAGAGTGGAAAAAAAAACTATGATCAAAAATTTTTTTAAAAATCTCTGGGGGGGGGGGCAGGGATCTAAACCTAAACAAATACCGGTTAGGTTCAGGTTCGGATAAAAATAACGGTTCAAGGTTCGGTTCGAACCTCTAAAAACCGGTTTGAACATTTTTGTATTCAAATCTACATTCGAATTATGTATAGGAGAGGTATAGTTTTTTTTATTTCATCATTAAAATAAAAAAAACATATATAAAACCTTCATTTTTATTAATTGCAGATTATAAAATAATAGGGATCCAAACCGAAACGAATATCGGTTCGGTTCAGGTTCGGATAAAAATAACGGTTCAGGTTCGGTTCGCAAAAAATAAAAATATTGGTTCGGTTCGAACCTCTAAAAACCGGTTTAAACACTTTTGTATTCAAACCTTCTTTAGGTTTATGTATAAGGAAATTTTTATTTTTATTTCATAATTAAAATAAAAACCTTCATTTTTGTTAATTGCACATTATAAAATAATATTTAATTTATAAATATAACAAATAAATATATCAATGAATAATTTTAATATGAACAATTACTTAAATTTTTTTTATTAAGCTGCACTTTTCAAAATTCGTCTCACTCAAATTACATCTATAAGGAAATAATATAAATTTAATTGTTGAAAAACATCTTTCCACACTAACTTGGGTAGCTGGCATTGCCAGTATGATATCACATTTGATGTGTCATTTATAATACTATATGTAAATAATTTATATATTAGATTTGATTTTTTTCTAGGCATTATAATTTATAAGCTTAAAATATTTAAAAAATGTTGTAAAATGGCAATATCAATATACTAAAGTTTATAAAAATTATGACTGACGTTTATCAATCAAATGTTATTGATAATAATATTTAAAACAATTTGAATATAATTAAAATTTTTGCAATATACTACTAGTAATAACTTACACATTATTTTATAAGCATAAAATTATGAGACTCGAACCGGTTCAGAGACATTTTAGCGGTTCGGTTCGGCTAGAAATTATTTTAGTGGTTTAGGTTCGATAAAAAATACAGGTGTTTAGCGGTTTAACTGTTCGGTTTGGATCCCTGGATGGGGGGGGGGTATATTGTAGATCTATTATCCATCAAAACCTGACACAAGGGGAGTTAAAAAAATACAATTATTTATAAGATGTGAATTAAACAATTTATATATATAAATTATTATTATAAGTCAAACGAAGAAGATACGAGTTTGTCGACCAAAGACTTCAGTTTTCAAACAGACGCCACCCCCGTCTCCGATACCACGTTTAACTTTTGATAGGAATGAGACGCGTATATCGATTACCGCGATAATTTCTTATAATTATTTTTTTGGTTACATTTGCCAGAATTCGCGCTAAATATCACATCACTCGGAGTGTAGGAATTCCGGATTCATTATTTTTTTTTTCTATTACCCATATTTTAAACACTTTTTATGAGAATTTTCTATTTCTTAGAAATGTTTATTATTATTATTATTATTATAAGAATTTGAAAGACATGTGACCCTTTTTTTGAATGGCGATAATTCAGCGGGAGGCTCCAATAACTCCCGACGTCGCGCGAAGGGACGCGCGATACAAAATCATGTTACATTTGTATTATTTATTGTATCTTCTTTTTTGTTTTTTAAAAAAAAACGGACAACTTTAATCATCGATTTAAACTACGAATAAAAATTATAAACCAGTACAGTTGATTTGAAGGCCAAAATTTTTAGAACTACAAAATACTTGTAGGTTAAATTAGCAAAATCTCCGACTTTCTAAAAAAAAATTCATTTTAATCCATCATTCCACATAGTGTTGTTAAAAGGCTCGTTTTGAGCCGATTTTTCCAAACCGCTAACTCAATATTTCACCCAGAAAAATATTACGCAAGTTTGAAGATTTTGCTAATAGAAGGAACAAAGTTCTAATAAAATTGCTAACACAGTTTTAAACCTTTCTCGGTAGGTAGAATTACAAGTGTCAATTTCTATACCTATTTTCTCATCTGTTTTTGTCACTTATTGATAATAATAAAAAAAAATTCTATAAGGAGATTTATCAAAATAATTTTTAACAATAGTTTGGCTCTCAAAAGATTTTAGGTAAGGCTTCAAAATGATGATTTATTTGATCAAATTTTACCTAAAATTTTAAAAACTTTAGAAATCATTAAAAAAAAAATCATTTTTATAAAATTATATTTATCGTTTGAGGAAGAAGGAATCAATATTTTCAATATAGGTAAATTTCATTTTTGAAGTATATTCCTATATATTATGGAATGAGACTGTGACCGCCAACTCTACCAAACTAGAAACTTATCCTCACAAGATTTATAAAATATAAAAATTAGTAAATTCGTACGAAATAAAAAGGGATTATTAGTCCTTTTATATGATTTTTTTTTATGCAAAACTTTTCATAAATTTTAAAATCGCAATTGTTGAAAAATTTTGACGCGAAAAAAAACGCATTTTGAAAATAATTTTCTAATTTTAATAATTTTAGTAGTGTCGTTAAACGGTTCGATTTGAGCCGATTTTCAAAACCGGCTAGCCTAATATTTTCGCCAAAATATTGCCTAAGACTTGAGATTTCTCTAACAGATGTCTAGACATCTGTACCATCTCTGAGCTTAATCTTCAGGCTTGGTATTATTTTTCTAGATAAAATATTGAGTTAGCCGTTTTTAAAAATCGGCTAAAACCGGGCCGTTTTTAAAAATCGGCTAAAATCGAGCCGTTTAACAAAAATTATTTTTAAAGCTTTTATTTATATATGAGAGAGAAATCAAAAATATATATATTATTAAAGGGGAAGAAAAAAAAAATTTTTTTTAATAATTGAAAAAAAGTGAGTTTTATAAAGCTTTTCAAGTGATTATAGTTAAAATAATTTAAAACCGCCAGAGACCTGCAGGCCCGCCCCAGAACTGGACGCAAAATGGTATAATCACAAATCCGGGCCGTATTTTATCGCATTATATCAGAATCGTACGGACCAATAAAAAAACGGATAGGCGAGAACCACCTATTTCTAAAAATAAAATTTTGGATCGGGTTGGAATATTAGTTGATCTGACTCTCAGGGGATAGGGCGTCAAAGAAATCCCGTGATTGGTTGAATTCGATGGCTCTTAAATTAGCTCCCTCTACATCCCAAATAAACAAACTTCTTTTTTTTTTATTATAAAAATAATAATAATTTATTTCGATGAAACAATTTGAATAAATTACCAAATTAATATTTATATAAAAAAAAAAGGTACATACATATCAAAAAATCGTATAAATTATTTTTATAAAATTATAAATGTAAATATAAAAAAAAATATATTTAATTTATATAACAAAAATAAATTTCGCGAACGAATTAAAAAGGATACTTTTTGATATTAAAATCATGAATTTGAAATCAGATTAAATATTTTTAGGTATGAATATAAATATTTTTCTATCTTTCTCATTAAAAAAAACGAGTAGGGCAATGTAAATTCTAATATATATATATAAGTGAAATATTATACGCCATTAAGAAAAAAAATTTAAATGATCTTTGGGCAGTATTTTACAAATAAATAAAAAATGATTGCACAAAATGTTTTAAGTGTTGTTTTCCCCGGTAAATTCCTTGGCAGGATCAGAGTAAATCTTTGGTAATAAATAAGAGCTGCTTTGAATTAACAGGTTCATAAAAACCATCAGTTGGCGGATTTAAGGAATGGAGGGACTATCCTCTAGAAAATTTTCTGGATCCGCCTCTGACATGTATAGGTGTGTAACATCTTTTTAAAGGGGTGATGTGATAAGATTCTATTATAGGTGTGTGACAAGATAAAAAGAGAATTGGCTTTTTTGTTTTTAAGTAGTAAGAGATCGATAATTCGAAATATAATAGAATAAGACTTTTTTTTTAAGACAAATAAATAAGATAGTGGGGAGTAGGGTTACATGATGGTACATTTTAGCAAATATGAAAAGACGGTGGTAGCGCTGGAATTTGGCGATTTTTATTTTATTGACTAAGAAAATATTATAAATTAAAGTATTTTTTTTTCTTCTCGTTCATCTTTAAATATTTGAGCAAGGGTTATTATCATGTTTTAGAGTGAACTGCTATGATGTCTCTTTTTTTTCCCTTTCTATTTAATTTTACCGGCGTTAACCTTATTAATATTATGGGACGTGATCGTGTTCATGTCTTGTATTAGACCCTCTAGATTCTGCATTTCTGTATTTAGGTCCTCTGTACTCTTAGTATTTTTCTAAAAAAAGATGAGATTATGTTTGATTGAAGTTATTCTAGAAAACAAATAAATCTTTCCTAGAATAAAGATCAAATTTTACTTAAAAATGTCAAATCTCGTCAAAATTTTCAAAGGCATAAAAAGCCTTTCAAGAATTCAATTCTGATGAAAAAGCATAGATTATAATCATTATTTTTTAATACCTTCAATAGCGATAAAATTTCTTGATCCTTTTTGCAAGCTTGGTACAATAGATCGGGAGCTATGAGATGTTTGTTTTTAATTTTTATTTTTTAAAAATAAAGTAAAATATGTCTTGCGCTATAACCGACGCAATTATAACTTCGTCAGAATTTTTTTTTTTTTTAAAATTGAGCGGTTAAGTAATTGTAATAGAATCGATTGACCTTTAAAAGCAAATTGATGATTAATTGTCAAATATATTGTTAATTTTGTGTATGATGATCAATTGATGTACTTAGATTGATTCTCAAGTAACAAAATATAATATAATAAATTAGTTCACTAATAATAAAATATCGCGGGTAACCTTTCGAGTGATTGCTTTTGTGGGCCGGGTTTTCTTTCGGAGGCGCTGGTATTCGAAAGCTTTTTAGCGGATGATATTGTTTGTTCTTGTCTAAAAGCGTGCAAAAAATGAGAAATTTAAGAAACTTTTATAACGCAATTGATAAAAAAAAATTTTAATCGAATTTCTTTAGACAAAAGTCCTCGATCAAATTCAAATTTCTTAGGGTCCGAATGTTAACCTTCGCGCCATTCCTATTTTTCGTGCTTCTAAGAATATTTAAAAGAGAAATTACGGTCGATAAAAAAGAGATATCACATCATCTGAGGTTAAAATAAGTATTGGATATAGTAAAAAGCAAGAAGGAATATTTATAATGATGTTTACTCAAAACTTATTGAATTAGATTTGCCCTAAATTGGCACTAAATCAGGAAAGAATGGATCATATAAATATAGCGATGCACGATACATCAGTCTTGATATTTAATAAACGTGGGTGCGATATTTAGTTTTTTCACTCACTAAATATCGCGGGCGTTAGTAGGAGTCACGGCCTTATCATGTTATAAGGTATAGAACAAAAAAAAATTATTAACCTATTCTGGGTTTAAACGATCTAACCTTGCGCTAAAATGATTGACATTTCGATTTTATCTATAGATGTGTTGGGAAATAAAACTCCATTTAAAAATTGCTATTTATCATCTTAACTCATAATTAATTTTTAGCGAATCTGTTAAATGAGTTGTCGGTTCTTAGAATAAAAAAAAAAAATATTTTGAGTTTCCAAAGTTCATTATTTTTTTTCTAAATTTCTTGCACTTTATTCGATACTAATTTCAACAAGAACATTTTAAACTTCCTTATAGAGGATAACAAAAATAGTAAAATATGACGGCATTTACTGTTGTCCACGATATTTCTCTGAGGTTCAACTATTACGTAAAATTTTTGGATAAATTTTCAATTTTTTTTTTTTGCGCTACTATCTTAAATTCGAATTCAAACTAAACGATCTCTTATGATATATACTAAAATAGTGCTTATATGCTATATCTAGAAAATTAGAGGAGAGCGAGACAGATCGTCAAAACCCGATTAAGTTCAATAACAAACATATAAAATCTGTCGATAGATTAATAATACGCAATTGGTTGAAAATTAAAATGAAAATTCGTGTGAAAAATTATTTTATAATGAAAATAAATATAAACGATGTCGGGGCTAGAATTGGATTGCTCCACTTTCCGCAAATGTTTAAAAATGAGAAAGATCAACATTAAAGTTTAAAACCAAATATAGGAAAAGCTTTTATTGATCAACTTTGGACAGAGCTATAACTTTTTGGCAAAAATTAGTTGTTCTTTAAATCTAGTTTTTAATTTTTTTTATATATATTGGGGATAGATCTCAAAAATTTTTTTTAAAATGTCGAGTGGAGCACTCCAATTCTAGACCGACGACGTATGATGCCAATCTTTTAAAAGTTCTCGAAAAAAAAATACATCAAAATAAAACAAAAAAGAAAATACTTCTTAAGGGAGAATTCCTATTAATGACTTGATTAGGATTGATGTTGCTCGAGGAGTTATTCGTTATTCCTGTGTTGGGAGAATACCGGGAAAAAATTTCGTCTTAGTGTTTTTTTTAACATTGTTTAAAAATATAAATTTAATTTCGCTTCTAAACTTACCCTCCAGCCTTTATCTCTTCCTGATCTCCCATGCCTATTCCACTTGCATTACCTTCTTCTTCCTCTCCTATCATCTTTTTACTTCCCTTTATCTCCCCCCTTAATCATAACAGATTTATATTCAAAGCCTGTTTGTTAATAGGGATCTTTTAAAAAAAAATTTTTTTGAAATATTTCAAATATTAAATTTCTTTTCAAATTTTAGCGGAAACGCATTCCGTCCCGTTTGGAATACCTACCCTATGAATATCAGATAATTTTGCCAAGAACATAATTTATATCTTCCATCGATTTATCTTTATAAATTACTCAAAAGATAACGACAAAATTAATCTACAAATTCATAGGAATAGATATTCTAAACATTGCTGGAATACATTCCCGCCAAAATCAGATTTTGAAATTTAAAAAAAAAACGCGCTCAAAAAACCGGCCTGTTTTTTTTTCATAATTATGCCCTTAGAAGGATAGATGACATTTGGAATGCGTTATTTAAAATATACCACAAAAATTTAACGAAAACGGTTCAATTAAGTAAATACTAATTTTTAAAATGTTAAAGGAAGGATGATCATTACCCTTTTGAAACATGAGAGGGGTGAGGAGAGAAGGCGGCGGTGGCAAATAAGGGGGTAAAAGCATCACGCTGCTTTCCGCGTCGTCCATTATTGACTCGGTGGGCAGCGAACGCGGATGACACGCGGGTAAGCAATCGTTGAGATGATGTTCTTCGCCTTTGATGTCAAGAAAATATTGTTATATCATGGTTTGTACATATTCATATCATCGATAAAAAGGCTTTATAGAAAATAGTCCTTTTTCGCCGTAAACTTAATGACCATATGAATCCTCTAAAAATACAATGAATTGCGTATTAAATGAAACCCAGCAAATTATTTTTTATTTCGGCCCGGGTAAACCCAAAGTTTTTATTAGGGTCGAATCAGGTTTAAAGTTTTTAGTAACTTATTCAGGTCGGGCTCGAAATTTTTAATTAAAAAAAAATTAACAAATATTTGCTAATTTTAAAATATAAAAAATCACTTATTGATTTTGTGGAGGAGGAATTGTAAAAAAAAAAAAGAGAGAGAGAGATGATAAAACATTACTTTTTTTTCAAACAAGCCCGGGGCCGACTGGGCTCTAAGATAAACTTTAAAAAAAAAATAATACTCACGAGACACGACAATATTAGGTCTGCCACAGCACGAGTCCATATTACCCCGGTTCAGGTTAATTTCACAACGGCATCTTTGATAAGAAGTGGCCGAAACTAACGATTTCAATTCTAAGGTATTAGTATCGAACCCACAATGAGATGGTTTGGGAGTTTGTATCTGGGGAGATATCAAAAGTGATAGTTTAATTAAATTTGTTATTGATATTGCCTAAATTTAAAATATTGTAATCACTAAACCAGGTTATTTGATAGTTAGTTAGTACTTACTACAATATGAGAAAAAAAAATTCAAACCTGTCCAACCCATGCATCTTGATTGCCACCGTGATGGACGTGATCAGATCTGGGGTACTGATTGACGCCAGCGCATGTGCAGCAGCACTTATCGGCTCCACCCCCGCCCATTATGCTCCACGACTCGGTTCCGCTCGCGTAATCGGAATGACTCTGTACGGTGCCGCTCGACGCGCCATCCTGAAGCGCGCGGTGACGGCACGTGGAACAATAATTGTAATTATTTGAGTTAGGGTTGAGAATACAAGTAGCCATGTTTTCCCTTTCCCTTCTTTCTTGTTGTTGCGTTTCTTCTTGATCCTCTAGGAGATAAGGCGGAGATTGTTCATGGTGAGGGAGGCGCAAACTACCTGTTTTTTCGTATTAATTATTTTTTTTGTTATATTGAAAATTAGGGGAAAATATTCTTGCATTTTAAATCAATAAATAATTACTAGTTCCATTATTTAAAGATTTGAGGAAGCGCTGGGAATGATTCATCGAATGATTATTAAGGCGATTGTTGGCACAATGATTTTGGCTATGGTGGTGACCGCAAGGGGTAGAATCCACGACGGTATAAGAAGTGTCACGAGAATGATGCGATTGACAGGAATGGAGATGAAGGAAAAGGGAGGAAGGAGTGAGGGGTGATGGCGAAGGGGCCACGCCTCCCGTAGACATTTTGTTGAGGAGCGAGTTTTGGTGCTGTTTGCTAAACGTGTTATAATATTTTTTAAAATTTTTTTAATCTGTTAATCGATATATCATGTGATTTAATTATTGAAACTTAGAAAAAGTCATATTTAAAAAAATAATAATAGATGACGTCATAATAAAAACCTCGATGTTTGACCTCGCGGTTGATTGCTAAAATCCGAAAATTCGCTTCGCAACTCGTAATCGCGAGGGTCGCACGAAGAAGCTACTCCGTATTCCGCCTCCACGTCGTATTTTCCTCGTTCGTCGTAATCGATGGCCAGCTCTTCTGAGCGATCCTTGTGCCATGGGCGCGGGCTTTTAGAAGCGGATTCGCGGCGAGGTGCCACGTTGTCTTTATAAATATTGCGACGGCGACGTCTGGCAAGAGTCAAGAGAAAGGCTGCCAAAGAAAGTAGAAAGAGTAGGCACACGGCGGCCCCCGCTGATGCCATATAAAGTACGCGCTTGGACGAAGAACTGCCGCTGGCGGAATTCTCATCTATATAAAAATATATTTATCGGGACAGAAAAATGATTAAAATACGATATAGCTTGGCATGATTCTTAAAAAAGCTAAAATACAAGATGTCATCGTAAACTGTCAATCAAACCTCTTTTCGAGGGATGGTTCTCCGGATCTTCTAATATTAGTCCAGCTTCAGAATTTTCGTTGGAGATCATGACTTGATCCATCTGTTTAAATTGACCGAGCATAGTGTTGGGAACGGAGGGCGTCTTGAAATATACGACGGGGGAGAGAGGACCGAACCTTTAAACGTTGTTTTAAAAATATTATTTTTTTTTAGTTAACCCTCGACAGAGCTGCCATTAAGAATATTTTTTAGGGCCCCAATATTTTGGGGGATAATGCCTCTTATTCCACTCATCCCATAGTCGACAAAGATAATTTTAGTCGCGCAAGAATCACGTGTTCGTTGTTGCGCAATTAATATTTTGACCATTAATCAGGTGAAAATAGTCGATAAAATAAAATTAGTAACTACAGTTATCATTATAAGGGTGTCCATCAGAGACCTTAAAATATAATATTCCATGGGCCGCAAACCGGTCCGGGTAATAAAGGTATCTGAAAACCGATATGAAATAACGGAAGGGGGGGCATGTTCACAGTTTAAAAGTCGGATAGGGCCAATTTACTTAAAAAGAAAAATCGAATCTCTTTTAAGAGAAAGAGTAGCTAATATTTATATTTTTTTAAAAAAAAAGTAAACACTGTTTTCTTAACCTTCCATTACTTCTACATAAAACGAAATTCCATTCGATCGATAATCAATGCATAAATACTATAATAATAAAAAATTCGCGTCACAAAAATATTGTCACGAGGTTGAATCGAACTCGTGACTAAATATTTGCCACAGCTGCTTACCACTTAGGGCCCTCGCCGGTTCTTATGAGTTATGTATTTTTCATTCTTCTTATAAATAATTTTAAGAGCATAATAATTAATATTGTATACTATTCCTCAAATTTAATGATAATTTTTTTTAAAAAAAAATATATTTTTGTAAATTAGGGGATCAAGGGAACCCCGGATGATGAAATAAGGATATTTGGTTTGAGATGGTAAGCGAAAATGAGCAATGGTCAAATGGTTGCTGTGGAATGAGTAGGAATAGATGATGAGAAAAAAAAAGACCGATGATCAAAAGATACATTAATTATTTTTTTTATTTATAGTATAATTTCGTATTAAAAATCCAATTTTTTTCATTATTATCGTATACATTTCAAAATATCACAAAATTAAAATTTATATCATAGATTTTTAAATGTAATAATTTTATTTTTACCCCATTTTTGTTAAATAATTATTTGTTACGGAATTTTTAACGAATAAAATGAAATATTTCCCTTTTTTTTTCCACTTATCATGACCATAAAAATATTTTGTCGGATCGGTTTGGAATGAATATTGGCTCAGATGGGTGAAATGATTTGCCAATCGACCCCGCCATAACTATGAATTAATTATTTGAGGGTAAAGGAAATTTTAAAAAAACTATTTTTTTATTTTTTCTAAACCCTTTAGAGTTGCGGGCTTGTATCTTGAAATGGTAAGAGGTATCGGGCGTTAATTCCCTGACTAGTGTAGTCAGCTGATGACCCTTAACGGTCTCCACGATCCATTCCCTATCCGGTCTCTGGGCTTGGGTGGTGTAGAAAACGAGGTAACCCATTATTTTGCCGTTGGCTTGCTTTGGGGGCTGCCAGTTAACGAAGACCGAGCAACAGCTACGGCCATCTCCCCCTTTGTCGCTCGTCCTCCTCGGCGGAGATGTCAACGTCGATGACTTGGACAGGAGCGGTGGCTCGGGTTCGAGCCCGAATACGGTCAAATCCCTCGGAGGCGAGCCGGGAGGGGCCTCGCCCGTGGTGTTGAAGGCCGAAAGGCTCCATGTGCTACTTTTGACAGTGATAATTATTCCCAACGCGTCGGTATTCTTATCGCTATTTGAGGGTACGTGTTGTTCCCGCAAATATATGTGAACAAATTTTATTTTGATCAAGTAATTAAAAATCTCTCATTCTTATCATGTGATCAAAGGGAAAGGATCCGATTTGCTCATACAATTACAAAATGAGGGTGGGGAAAAATGTTAATCCTAAGATTTCTCAGCTTTGTAATAATGATAATTGTATTATTAGTCACCTATTTTGAACGGACGGAATATTGGGGAGAGATTGAATCACTGCTACTTTAACGACGAATTCGTATTGAGTGTTGGGCTTTAACCCTTGAATGACGGATTTCGTCTGTCGCGTCACGTTGATGTACTTGTATATGCTGCTACTCGTAGAATGTAAGTCGTCGGAAGACATGAAGGGAAGAGACGCGGAAGAAGGATTGTACCTTTTATAATTATAATAGTGTAACAGCTTGGATAAGCTTTTCGTTTTGAGTTAATCGGTATTAAAAAAAACTAAACGTTGATTTAAAAGAAATGAATGAACACTGTGCCATTAGGATTACCTGACGGTGTAGAGGCGAGTTTCGAGCCTGTTCAGACTACGCAAATCAGAGAAGGTCAACATAGAAAGATCGGCGGTGTCGGACCACGAGAGTGAGATGACGCTTTCCGACATGGTCAATGCTTCCAGACCTATGGGAGGTAGCAAAACGGATTCTTTTTTTTGAGGGGGGGGGGGGGTGGACAAATGATATTAAAAATAAAATGATGGTATTTAAACTTCTTTTTTTTTCTTGTTCGAATTATCTCGTGGCACTACTACAACAAAGCCCGCTAATATATTGGGCAACCACGGACCAATCAAATGATTGATTATATATATTTTTTTAAGCTTATTACTTCCCTAATATCGCTAACTAAGCGCGTAAACAAAATAACATGGTATGCATATAAAGCGTATCATGGAGATATACCTTCCTCCCTCCCGTCGCCTTCGTCGTTATCCCTCAACGAACCGTATTTAGGCAATGTCTTCACGGTCTCCAGCCTTTCCCTCCCATTTCCCCTATTGTTAAAGGCTCGAAGGCTTATAACGTACTCCGACCCCGGAACTAGGTCCACTAGGGTGTAAGAAGTGACCGCCGGAGAGAGCACGCGCGAAAAAATGTCGGGAACGCCTATGCCGTAACCTAAGGTATACCCGCGTACCAGGATGTCATTGTGATTGGCGGGAGCAGTCCAACGGACGAATATTTTCGCCCCGCCTCGCAAAGGTAATACTCTTTATAACGCGAAAAAAATAAATAAGAATCTTAATAACTCGCCAATGAAATATAGCATTCATACAGCGTCTTCGTTAGAAAAAATAAAGGCCAATATATAAAAATTTATTCCCCTTAAAAAATATATGGAAGGAATTTGCTTCTAACTCTCGTTTCATGTAGAGGGCGATGCTTATAATATATAAAAAAGATTACAGTAATACAGCCTGGCCTAAAAAAAAAATTTTTGTAAAACCTGAGGGAGGGCCGATTAAAAATCAAAAAAAAGCAATGGAAATATGTATAGTGGATCAATTTAACATCCATTTTCATATTCCTGACCGGAACCGGAAATGATCAAAATTTTTAAAATAAATTCGACTTCCGCCGGTTTAAGTTACATATGTATATGTCGTATTGGGATATGGAATCCATGGGGACTAGGAATCGAATTTAACGATAGCCATTTTTAAATTTGGGGAAAATACATTAATTGATCGAAAATGTAAGTTAGCATGTATGTATTAAGTAGCAGAGGTCCACAACGGGAGCGGGCCGGGTTTTAAACCAAGGATGGGTTCGGTCCAATTTTTTTTTAAATCCGGGTCGAGCCTTGCAAATGGTACATGGAGTGGGGTTGGTATGGTTACACAAACACTTCGCCCCGGTCTCCCCTGGTCGTTTTAAAGTAATGGGGCTTCAGAATCGTCACTACAATTTCAGAATGTATAAAAATACTATGGTAATAGAGAGAGCAATGCGGTTGGTGATAAGAATATCGGTAAAACAATAATTCGATGCAAGCATATTTCGCTTACTTCAAGGAACCAGGAGAGTCTGGTACACGGGACTCGTCTAGGTGTCGGGCGAAATACACGGGAGGAAGAGTAAAACTGACCCACTCTGAAGGTACACCCGATCCATTGACAGTTATAGCGGACACGCGGACGGCGTATCGGACTCCTAGAGATTCCGAACATTTGTTTTTAAAAAAAATGAATGCGTCTTATAATTGGAAAAATATATTATTTTCAAATGCCTTATTTTGAAAAACAGATTTTAAATGACTATCAAAATGTCTGTCGGACATGTTGACAGATCGAAACTAGCTACACATAATGGATGAACCTTGTATAATCTAGAGGACAATACAAGTAATGTTGTTAAATGCCGACTTTAAAAAAGGGCTAACTCATTATTTTATCCAGAACAATATTACTCAAACCTGAAGATTTTGGTCATAGATTTCACAGAGGTTCGGACAACCATTAGCGAAATCTAGGCTATTTTTTTCAAGCAAGCAAATAATAGGTAAAATATATAAGCTATAACGATGTATTTAATTCATTTCATCGCATCGCGCAGTCATTATAATAAATTTTTATTATTTGCTTGTTTTTGGAAAATATCCTACGACGCGTGTCGTATAGCTTGAGCTATGAACGCGTACGTCTTAATCGTTAAATGTAACAAATGATCAAAATATTCACACAATCATTTTAATTGTCAAAAAAAAAATTATATCATCATTTACCTTCTTTTAAGCCGCTTATAGCTGCGCGAGTTTCTCGAGCATCCACAGTTATGACTCCCCGGTCGTCGGGCGTTGGACCGCGAAAACGGACCTTGTAACCAGTCAAAATACCGTTCAAGGTGGCAATAAGTGGTGGCTGCCATCGAGCAATAATGGCGGATGAAGAAAGTGGAGCCAAAGTAACGTTAAGTGGTGGAGCGGAGGGCACGTCAGAGAGCGTGCGGACAATAAGGCGGGGCGTGGGGGAAGTGATAAAACTTTTTTCCGCACCAGGTTTATCATCGTCCGTTACGAGCAGTGCCGATACACGCACGGAATAGTAAGAAAATGGAATCAGATGGGACGCGTGGTACCATAGTCCACGCACATTCACCGCCTCTTCGCTGCCCTCAGTTTCCCCGTTTTCAGCTTCTGGCATATGGAGATCGCTTTCCGGCCGGAAGTCGTAACTTTGTTCGTACAGGGGCCATTGTGGTGAGACGGGGCTTCGCTTGATAGGGGTCTTAAGTGACGCATTAGTAACGGCATAATCGTGTAGTACTAGAACATCGCTGAGGTATTGTTCATTTAGGTGGAAGTCATCTAAGTAATCTAATCATTTTATTTTTTAAAAAATGCGTTTTTTTTAAAAAAAGATGAATGAATGTATAATATACCTCTTTTCCGCCTAGTACTCTCCAACGTCTCGAAGATACGTCTCCTATTATTATTATCGGAATCGTAATCGAAGGGATCCGAGAATCTAGATTCACCGGTCCGCCATGCTTTAGGCCTTTCGGCGTACCGTCGGGATGAAAGGTAATAAAAATAGGCCAGAGCGCTACCCAGCCTCTTGATGTGAACCGTAAAAACGAACGTCCTTTTATCGGGGAAAACGGGAGGCTCCCACGTGATCTTGATGGAGGTGGACGAAGTTGGCCAAGCCTTTAAATTGGTGGGAGGTCCAGGCTCCGAAGTCACGTGATTCACTTTGTTTTTTTTTATTTAAAAGGACAAGGTGAACAATCTTCAGAATGGATTTTATAAGTCACAATATAACTCCTATTCCATTCCAACAAACAAAAAGAATATTAAAAAATTTATCTCGTTATTTTGGATTTAACAGAGATGTGCAGGCCCGGCCCTAAGCCCGGTCCGTGTTGAAGAAAAAATTCAGGCCGGGCCGCGCAAATGTTACCTCCGCAGATCTCTGGAATTTAATGTTGCCCGAGAATTCGTTTGTGTGCTAAATATCCTATTTAGCCCATATGGGAAATCAACTCTAAAACTAAATAATTGCATTTCGAGGATGGGGGAAGGGTGGAAGGGCGTGGGGTAGAATCATGCCACGAGTAATATTGTTAAACGGCTGATTTTTTAAGAACAGCTAACTCAATACTTCATCCAGAAAAAAATATTACGCAAGCCTGAAGATTTTGCTCATAGAAGGAACAAAGGTCTAATGCACCACATATTCTAGAAATCTCGAGGCTTAGGGCGATATTTTTCTGGCATATATTGAGTTCGCCGTTAACAAGACTACCTAGAATAATTCTAAAAAAAAATTTAACTATTCCCCCCTTAACAGTAAATTCCAGACTACGGGCCTGAAATTATGTATACTGAAATTTAAAACTTTTTACTATTATTATTATAACGTTAATTTTGTATAAACAAGTTTATTTAATTCTTTAAATTTTACCATTAAATAATATTGTTACGTGGAAGTGAACAGGAATTAAATAAATATCGCATTTATGATTCAGTAATAAATTAGTAAAATATAAAATTTTATATATGCATAAAATGTTCAGGAAATGCTCCCAGGATCACTGTTCCCGTTTCCTTTAGACTTCCCTAGTTTTCCCCAAGTTCCATTCCCGAAACATTCCGTTCCATGTCCCTGATATATATCTAATCAAACTCGAGGGTAGGAGGGCTAGGATTTAATTTTTGGGATCGGACAAATCTCGAAAGATTGAAAACTTTTTCAGACCGGCAGAGCCCCATAGAAAAAAATAGGACGGACTGAATCATCGATTTTTTTGAAAAAATGTATATTTGCGTTTACCCGCTAACTTAGGTGTGCCCAGAGTTCGAACCAATAACACGTTAAAGTTCGCCTTATCCGAACGGCGATTAAGCAACTCGAACCGGTATTCGGTATCTGGGGTAAGCCCGGTCATCGATATTTGTCCTCCAAGAACGGGCGAGGAAGGGGACTCGGTGGTCGACGGATAATTTATCTCTATTTTTCGCCTCCTTCGAGAAGTATAAAAGAGATTGTATTTATATAAAAGAAATGAAAATGAGAAAATTTCCTAGAAAAAAAACCTTTTAGAATTGACAGGTCCGTATTGAATGTGATACTCCCCGTAAAGCGCGTTGGCGGGCAACGACCATTCCAGCATTACGGTTTGGTTAGTCTTGCGAATCAATTTGAGCGACGGGGACGCGACTAAATTATTTATATTTTTTTTTAGAAAAAATGTATCTCCTAACTTAGTCCATATTATTATTTTTTTGTTGCTTATTTCTAAATAGGGCATTCTGGAAAATAACTAGGACACACTGATCGCATTTTATTCAGGTTTTGGGAAGCTATTTAGAAATTCTAAGAAGATATGACCGTATTTTAAAAGGGTTAAATAGGTATTTTATTATACAGTGCAATATTAATTTTAAAAATTTAGAGCGAGACTGACAGAGACAATTTCCGATCGCAGATATGGCGCCTTTGGCGTCCAAGGAATGGGATCTGATCCCAGGCACGCAGCATTTTGGGCTTCTTTGAATGATTCATAGATCTTAAATGGTTCAAGTTAGCCATTTTTGGCATTCTTTCAATACGTTAGGTTTTATAACTCAAAAATAATAGAAAGTAAATAAAAAAAGTGGAATCAACTCACATTTATTCTCCACCAATTTATTGTTTATCTCAGTGGCCGAACTTTCTAGAAGGGCGTTGCTGTTCGTCGTTCTTGTGAGCTCTTCTGCCACGGTTTCCCTGTCGGCTGTACCATCGCAGGACAACAAAACTTCGCTCGTGACAGTGTAAAAAGGCTTTTTGTCCAAATTTTGGTGACCCGCGAAACATTGGTAAAAGCCCGAATCGGAGGCCACGGTGCCCAAGATGTGAAGGCGACTCACGGTTAGATATTCCCTCAAATTTTCCCAGTTCAGTTGGGAGAAACGGAAAAAACGGGACAAGAATGGTTGATTGTTCCTCGAGTCTATGCGGATGTAATCGGAGTCCGAGTCGATCAAAACCCCGTCTTTGAACCAAGTTATAACGGGTTTGGGGTGACCGAGGGCTAAGCAAGTCAGGGAAAGATCGCTGTCAGCTTTCAGGTGTTTGAAATGGACCGGTGTTAGGAGTAAAGAGGGTGGCACTGTATTGGGGAAGAGAGAGAGAGAGGATTGTAAACATACAGGGGGTGGGGGAAGGGTGAAAGAATATTATTATTGACTTATTATAAAATTGCATTCCCAACTTAGAACGGGTCGAATATAATTTTAAAATCAGCCCAGACCCGATTAGTAAAAAAATAAATTATATTATTCGATCAATCGGAAAATCTTATAAATGAAACGGTTAATATTCATTTTAACTGCTCATATTTTTCAATTCTTCTTTAAAGTAATTTGCGAAATTATTCAAACAGGCTAAGGCCATTAAAATAACATAAATTCAAAAATGCCGGGGCAGGTTTGAACATTAAAAAATTGTTCTTAAAATCCGAGTAGGTTTATTATATAATATATATTAAAATGGTTAGTTATATCAAGCAAATAATAAAAAAAAAACCTAAAATTTTGACATGGATAGATGCGTCGACAGAGTCTTCGGTATTAAAAGTTCTACAGGTGTAGATACCCGCGTCGTGAACCGTGGGTTCCATTATGTGGAGAAAGGAAGCGGAGGCGTAAGCTTTTACGATTCGATATTTTGAAGAGCTAATTTCGAACGTTTTTTTTTTAAAAAAAAATTACAATTCTGGTATTTTTCTTTTCTCACATTTATTAAAAATATATCTTATTTATTTATATATTTTTTAAATTTTATTTAATAAATTTTTAAAAAAATGAGAAAAATATTTTTTTAATATTATATACATATATAAATATTTACGTCTTGCGACTAATTTTAAAACATAATGGTTACTCTGTTATTAGTAAGAAAGTGGGGGTGGGGGGGGGGAGAGAATTTATTTAGCTAATTTTAAATCAAAATAAAATAACGTGCCATTAGCGTATCGATTTTATTTTTTGATTCCTCTAGTAAAATCCCTTAATCCTAATTTCCAGAGTTGTTAAAAGATACTTTTTAAATGGATCTAGATACAGATACATCGTCTAAAATAATATCTAGATACAGATATTTTAATCAAAAATCTATTAGATACAGATACAGATACCACATTTTTATATCTAGATACTTGTATCTAGATCCTTTAACAACTCTGCTAATTTCTATCAAAAATGTCAAAACAATTATTTTTTTAAATAACTTGTTAGAATGGTTCCGCGACAATTCCAACCCGTTTTTAAGCCAAACTATGTCGGGTACGGGAAAGCCGGAAACGACGCAGGGAATTCGTATCCCATGGGGAGGATGTAAATCCTCATTTGGAATCGGTATGTTTTGGGAATTATCCATGAAATCTGACAAAGGTTGGCTAGACGACCGAGAAAGAGTGTAAGTGATGTCCCAAGGCTTGACCAAAAAGAAGGGTTCTGCCAGGGCTATATAAAAATGAATATTTTATAAAAAATGCAAAAAAAAAACTGGCCATTTTAGTATAATAAGTCCTCACAAATTTAAAGCCCTTTTTCGATTCGCGTTATTCAAATTAAGCTCTTTTAAATGGCAATATGCAAATCGGAAATCGTTTGTATTTGCGTTTAAAAAAAAAAGCAAAATTATTTGCGTTTTTCACATTTTTAAAAAAAAAAACTCGCCTGAGAAAAAAAAATGCAAAATTCTAAACCGCTTCTGCTCAACTTGTAAGTCCTAACAGTGGCGTAGCTACTGGGGTGGTTTTCGGGTTTGGACCCCTCCCTGAATTTTTTTTTTAGATTATACGTTCAAAAGACTTAGAAGTGACTTTACCAATAATATTTATATTTTTCTGGTTTTGATGTTTGTGGAAAGATATTATATTACTATTGAAATTATTCTGGGTAGTATTATTATAAAATCATTGAGAATAATCTACTAAATTATAATAACATATTATTCATGCATTTAAAAAAAAATATTTATTATATATTGTCGAAGATGTGGTTATGATTTTTAAGATAAACACCCGGCAGAAGGCCCCTTAAAGGGGGTCTGGGGGCGAAACCCCCAGGATTTTATATGTATAGACTCCCTCTAAGAAAAATTTCTAGCTACGCCACTGAGTCCTAATAATAAAAAAAAATACTGGTTGGTTAAATTATTACCCATTTAAATAATTATCAATAAAAAAACAAAAACGCTTACTCGTGTCCATAACGTTTTTTTTGAAATCCACTACGACTTCGGGACTGTACTCTGCCTCGAGCGGAATTTCAATCTTGCACCTATTAATTTTTTTTAAAGTGATAAATAAATTGGTGTTTTTTTTAAAAAAAAATGATCTTTAACCCGATTACTATTCTCACTCGGTTCCCGTTCTTAATAGCTAAAATAAAAATTATACTACTAATTTTAATAGGGATCCTTAATATAGATAGGAAATTTTACTAGAAAGGCTAAGATAATGAGAAATATTGTTCCTGCATTTCAACCTCTCAAGTTATCAGATATCATTAATTCCGATCGTGATAATACTTTGAGGTTGAGGGACAATAAAGGTAAAAGCGGGGGCGTTTTTGCTACTCTAACATTAATATTGATGGAGAAGTAAACACACTAATTACTAAAAATGGAGGAAATGTCATCCATATTCCCAATTCGATTCCCAAGTTGGTAATCAAATTAGAAGCAACCATCCATTTTTTTAGTAATTATTTTTATAAAAACTCGACGTAAATATAAGTGTTTACTTCTCTACCATATTAAAATTAATTTCAAAATCTTTCTAGGAGTATAAACGAGATTACGAATTTTTAGAAATTTTTGTTTTAGGGATTAGAACCTAACTCTTCTCACTCATGCCGTTGGCAAAAGATAAAAGCGAGACCAACGCACCGCGATGAGATGAATACCGTATTTATTTGGCCGCGGTATTCGTCTCCCCACCGGTGAGTGAGTGGTATCTGGATTAGGTATAAAATATTAACCGCGTTCATTCCCAGTGATTGGTCTAAATCCATTTAAAAAAATTTTTTTTTGTAAAACCTTAGAATTAATTGATTGATAGATTGGTAGAGGAACAAAATTATAGTATACCCATCCCAATGACATATAATAATACCTAGACTGACGATGCATTCATAATAATGCATTTGAAAGCACCATTGAATGCAAATCAGATGGATCCGCCATTTTGGTAATCCATATAGTAATTATTCTCATGTTAAAAACTGGTATTAAATTGATAACTTGCTTCCTTATTATCTCGATGATCAGGCATATTCTTGAATAGAGTTTGCGTCAGACATAGAAATAAATGGCCACTCGTTCAAAATTTTTTAATAACGATATGGGCAACCAAAATGGCGTCCCCAGCTGTTTTTATTGATGTACACTTTCAGTGAATGCATCGTCGGTCTAGGTATTATTATACGTCATTGTATTCACCATGGTATGCAATTCATTTTAGCAATATTCGTGTGCAGCTTCACCCCTCTCCTTCCTTTTTACGTTATCATTCTAACTATATTACTATAAACCAGCTTAAACTTCTAGGGAATGGGGTATAGTTGTTAAACAGCTGGATTTGAGCCGATTTTTAAAACCGGCTAACTCAACGGTTTGTCCCGAAAAATAATGTCACGATGGTTTGGACATCTATTAGACGAATCTCGAGGTGTATGCGCTAAAATATTGAGTTAACCACGGTTCAAAACCGTTTAACAACACTCAGAGGGGGTTAACTAAAGTCGATATTCGATAATACCTATATTTCCCATTCGGGTTATTTCCCTCTTTACGCGTTTTTCCGTCATGAATAACTAGCAATATTTCTCCGGCGTAGCCTTCCTCGTTCCCGGCTAAAGGAATAACACCGTAAACATTTGGCGTTATCTTCAAGACGGCACCATCCTTTAACCACGTGACTTGAAGTGGGGCTATCGTCGGGCCCTGGATTTGTTTCGTTCGGCAGAAAATTGGAATGATTAACGGGTGGATGGGCGTTGAAAATTTGGACGACGGAGAAGGGGAGAAGAGCGAGAAAGGGCTAGGAGATGGAATGAGAGGGCCTAAGCCTGGCGAAAGAGGAGAATTTTTTTATATATAATTTATCTGTAAGCCAACGGAAAAAATTTATTAAATGTAGGGACATAATAATAAATGGCGGACTCGTTTTTAAGATGCCCTAAAACAAGAGCGGCATTGGTGGGATATTTATCACTTAAGCGTGTTGATCACGATTTTGTCACCTACCCCCTTAGCAACGCCCTTGCTACGAAGCAATAATTATCACGTGATTATTAACAGGACAAAAGGAAATCTCCTGTAATTGCTCATTTTAAGTTAGAGTGGTCATTCGCCGTAGCTAAAATGGAAATTGGTCAAAAGGAGTCAAATGACAGATGTTAATTTTTAATCCTATATAACAGAGACCTGCAGGCCCGGCCCTAAACCCAGGTACATGGGCCTGGCCTTATTCTAATGTTTTTAAATATACCCCGGGCCTGGCCGGGGCTAAATAAAATTTTTTAAAAAAACCGGGTCGGGTTCCTCTTTTTTAAAACGACATTATTAGCTATAAAAATAAATCCGGTCCGGACCTAAAAAATATAAAACTCGGGCCGAAATTTTTTTTAAAATCTGGGTCGGGTCATACAAAATGGTGCCTTTGCAGGTCTCTGCTATATAGGGTCAATGCTTGGTCGCAAAGTTTAAAAATGGACATAATTTTGTTGTGTTTTTTTTTTAATTAAAAAAAAAATATTAATTTTGGTAATAAATAACTTTTGAAAATAGAAATTTCTTTAATAATGTTTTGGACAAGGCGACGTGAAAATTAATAATTGAAAAAAAAAATATTAATAAAAAAATATGATCATAAAACTAAAATGTATGCTCCTTGAATTAATAATTTTAATTTATGTTTTTCTAAAAAAAATAAAATATTAATGTTCTGTCCCACCCCCCTAGCCCGCCCCCTCCCCGATGTAACGCAAAAAAAAGTGTTTTTATAATAGTTAAGGAGGTAACAAAATTTTTAACGAATCCACTAGGGAAAACGGGAGAAAAAAAAATAATTTATTCATCATATTTTACTGGCAACGACTAGCTTGATATGAGAACTCAGCAGACATAGATGGGCGCCGGGTCGATCTACGGTTACCATGCATTGATAAGTCCCGGAATCGTAGTAGGCGGAATCCTTATTATCCGCCCGCACATCTTTAATCGTCAATTGCCCCGTTCGAACGTTTATCGACCTGAGTCGCGAGAGCGTTATATATATTTTTTTTTTCCAATTTATTTTAAACGATAAATATAATAAAGTATGATGGGTTTGGTCTAATATTAGCAATTATTCTAACCTAGACAAAGTTTGTGCTTTACTGGATTTTGGAACCGGAAAAAGAAAACTGCAGAACCGAGTCAAATTTAAAAACCGCAAATAAACGAACCGGGTCATATTTAAGAGCCGGAACAAGAAACCGCGGAACCGAGTCAAATTTAAAAACCGCAAAGAAACGAACCGGGTCATATTTAAGAACCGGTATAAGAAACCGCAGAACCGAGTCAAATTTAAAAACCGCAAAGAAACGAACCGGGTTGTGTTTAAGGATCGGAACAAGAAGCAAAACCCATAGAACCGGGCCTAATATAAAAATTGGAACTAGAACTTTCTATTATTATTTTTTAGAAAGTTTTTATTGTACATCCCGCAAAATTTTCCCGCCAAAGCTATTTTTCAAGGGGTTTGTTCTTAAAAACCTAGTTATTAAGACTATGGAATTATTAATTACCACCTTCTATAAGGCGACGTAAATGGAGGCAGCAGATGTCCGTCCTTGAGCCAATCATACCTGATCTTGACGGAATCGTTCTTGTGAACCGAACAGTTTAAAATAACCGACTGGCCGTTAAAGGTTATAACGGTATTTTCCGTAATCGGGTTATCGCGATCGAATAAGATGACGTCCTTCTCGGTCAAATCGAAGGATATATTGGGCGCTAGCCGGACAAAAATAAAAATTAACAGATATTTTAGACAATTTAATGGAATGGTATGTGGGATAGATGGTCGGAAAAGGAAATCTCCCCCCCCTCTCCACAAAGTAACGCCGTTACTTTGTGGCCCACTTTCGCGATTCTTAATTAGAGAATTACTACGAATCGTAATCCTTTCTTTCCACCAAAAAAAAGGAGAAAACCTACAACCTCGAATTCCAAAAAAATCGTTTAGCCCCCCCCCTCGCTCACTGACGACACCATCGTGCCCCGGTCCATTTCCTCGGGGAAACAAATAAATCAATTTCGAAAGAAAAGGAAAAACGTGGCCAGAAAGAGATATTGAAAATCAATATTTAAAATCTCCCCTTTTAATACAAAAAAAAAATTAATATCTTCGACTTTATTTTCTTTTAATATACCCGGTAAATTAATTCATTCATTTATTTTACACTTTTTTTAAAAAAAATAATAATACATAATTATTTATTCAAATTTCTTATTTTTTGATATTAGTGTTTATTAAAACGTTGGAGAATTTGGACAAAATGGGATATTACTTATCGCATTTAGGATAAAGAAAACCGAATAATATAATTTTAAAAGAGTGAATCCCGAGTTAGTGAATTCGATATTTACGACTCGACCCGACCGGATATTTTGCAGCCGAGAATGCTGACAACATTATAAGGGTACGGAGAGTTGAAGGCTTAAGCGAGGCATCGAATATGGGGGAGAGCTATGCTGCCCATAATTTTTAAATAATCTAATTTTTTATAAAAAAAAATGATTCAGTTTCAGCGCTACACTTCTAGAAAAAAAAATTCTATACTCCCTCGACAAATATTGCAGATAGAAATCCTGAAATCCCTATTTCCCAACCTCATAGGATATTCCATCCTATGTTTATCATTCTTTTCAAGTAAATTGCTATAATATTAAGCAAAATAAAAAATAATCTAATTTAAATTTACTTGATTTACATAATAAAATTGATTTGATTATGATTAAAAAAAATATATTGATAAATATTAAAAATTAAATATTTATTTGATATTTATTACTAATAATTATAATGCAAAAATAATTTAATGAATCCACATTTTCTGGAAAGTGAAACCATTAATAATAATTTTTTTTGAAAGAAATATAAGAAGAAGAAGAGAAGAAGAGAAGATAAGAGAAGAAGAAGAGAAGAGAAGAAGAGAATTGAAGATTAGATACGATTAAGTAGAAGAGAAGAAGAGAAGAACGTATAGATAGAAGACGAAGAGATGACTATAGAATAGACGCTAAGAAAGAAAAATGTTGCCGAATTATACAAAAACTGGCTATTTTAAAGATCCTAAATATTTTGTTATGTTATTAGGTAAGGTGCGCTCCTCTGTAACGACCTAGTGTTGTTAAACCTTCTCGTTTTGAGCCGATTTCTAGAAACGCCTAACTCAATACTTCATCCAGAAAAATGTTGCGCGAGCCTGATGATTTTGCTCATAGAAGGAACAAAGGTCTAGACATATATTGGCGAAATCTCGAGGCTTAGACAATATTTTTCCGCCTAAAATGTTGAGTTAGCCGTTTTGAAGAATCGGCACAAAACGAGCCGTTTTAACAACACTATCCGTAACAACCACATTTTCCCGCCGGATACTATCTATTTCAAAACATGGCATTTATAAATTCTTTTAATTGAATTAATTCTCTTTGCCTTTGGAGAAAACGGGTAAAATCAGATTTTCACCCACGTTCGATGTTATATTCTGCTATGCAAACACATGTTTTCTTATATCAACATATCCCTCAGATATCGATTGGTTAATAAAAATTTCGAAATTTCAATGGAGCCAATAAATGATTTTTAAAATAACAAATAACAAGTTGTAAATTTTTTTAACCCCGTCCATAGTTTAAATATTTTTCTTAACCCGCCCGACCGCCCACTTAGATTGGCGGACGTGGGAGGAAGACCTCTACTTTATAGTTGCGCGAGGAAGGAGAAATAAAAAAAGCGAGTTCAATTCTCTAACAATAACGATTATTCTCAGAGCAACGCATGCGCCATGAGAGAGTTAATGCTCCTGCTTGGGTTTGGTGGCTAGAAAATGGGGAAAAAAGCAATATAGAGATTAAAGAATAAATGCAAAAATTTTTTTTTTTTAAAATAAACAATTACTAAATTTAACATTAAACATATGTTTTTTATTTTTTAAAAAAAAAAAATTATAATTTCTTAAAAAATATTAAATTATATTATAAATCGTTTTTGTAATTAGACAAAATAAAAAAATTATTTTAAAATTTATTAGGAAAAAAAAGATAAAGATAAAAAATAATAAAATAAATTCTCATAATTAAAAAAAATCAAAAAACAAAAATGGTATTTTTATTTTTATATGCTATGTGCTCTGCTAATATAATATAAAACAGAATAACGAGCTGGTTATCAAAGAGGTATGGCTTTGTTAATAATTGTGATGTTTAAGGTTAGTGAGTATAGATCGGAGATCGGCGCGTGGCGGGGTTGGACTGGGAAATAACTACCCATTGTAGAATGACTCCTTGGAGCGATATTTTAATTTTGTAATTTTTTTTTTAAATATAATTCTTACAATCGTTTTTTTTCTTCTTCTATTTCATGTTACATTTTAATGAAATTCTTAGTACAATACACATATTAGAAATCTGTAAAAGTAGGCCCGGTTATTAAAAGAATTTCGGGTTCGAGCCGGGCCGGTAAAACTTTTTCAAAATATTTCGGGCCGGGTCGGGCTTGAAAAATTAGACCCGATAAATATAATTTGTATTAAAAAAAATTCGACGCTTCAAAATATATTGATGGCATTAAATTTGTAAAAATAAAATTCGTTTTAATATTTATCACTTCAAATATATTGGCGGCCATTTTAGATTTGTAAAAAATAAAATTATTTGTAATTGATTTATTTTCATCGCATTAAATATATTTTTTTATATTTAAAACACCAAATGAAAAATGTCCTAACTTTATAAACATATGATTTATTGAGAAATTGATAATATACTTTTATTTAAATGCATACCAATATCTTAAAACATCAATAAAACCTTTTGTAGCTTGTAGGTATCTGTAATTTTCAAATCTTATAAGTATAAATTTGAATTTTCTGATCATTTGTATTCATGTTCGGTCATAAATTGTCGCACAGCGGACCGAAAAAGACCTAGGCAACTTAATATTTCACTGGCCGGGGTAAAACCGGTCCGGGCAGTGTCGATTTTAGGTCATAGATATAATTTTCACGTAATTCGCTATTTCCGAAAATTTTTCGTAAGCGATAAGCATTAGGAAGGACTCGAGTGGTGCCAAGCTTTTTAGTTGGACAGGACATGGACAGTTATATTTTATTGCATTATTGCTTATGAAAAATATGATTCAGCCCTGGCGAAGATTAGAGATGATCCAATACCAATATTTACGGTTAAAGGTCGGCGTAACCAGGCTCGCGGGTAAAAAATAAGATCTTCGGGCCGGGGAAGACTGGACCGGAGTTTTGAAAACACTTTCTTGAGTTATTTATCGGGAATTATTTTTTTTAAATTTAATTACGAAAAAATATTTTTAGCCAACTATGTACTATTAATTATTGTAAGACGTAAACGTAATGTAATTGCTATTAATATAATTTATTGTCATTTAAAATACAAATTTTTGTGGGAAAATTTTTCGTTTCTCAAATGAACCAAAATATCAAGTTATATATGCGTAAATTTAATTTTTAAAATTTATTCCCCTTTTCCGCTCAATTTAACTAATTTTGTGTTATGGTGGTGTTTATAGTAAATTTCCCTTCTTTTTTTTTACACTCTTATAAAGAACACGATTACGTGGTGAGAAATCAGTGGCTGTGAAGAACCGAAGATAGGGGAGAAGATATAACCGTATCATCTTAGGGGAGATTTTCTAATCTTCTATATTCCAGATTGCACCGTGTTCCCACACTTAATAAAATGGTTGGTTAACGATGACTGTAAAAAATTCTTATTTTCAAGGGGGGGGGGGGAATTGGAACTCAAACAAAAAAATATGTTTAAATGGCAATCCTATTAGTGAAGAACCACGCGACCGAATATTTGGCCACCTTAGAACAAGAGAGACGTGATGGCGGAGAAAGAAACGAGACGATATAAAGTTTTCCCGAGTGCCTGAGTTAAAATAGAATAACAGGATCATCGGAGATGGAGGTTAGAGTGAATCAAGTTTTTTTTTATAGGAAGTGCCCATTACTTAAAATTAAAATGGCGGCATTTCTCTTATCCTTTTTGGTTGAATAATCTAATTAGTAAATTGCGATATAAAAATTAAATTCATTTTTTTACAAATAATTTTTTCTTTTTTTTTAAAATTATTTTTTTTTTAATGAAAAAGTTAAATTGACCGGAAATAATTTCTGGAATGGTTTTAATTTTTGTAATTCAATTTCGAACGATAAAAAAAAATGGGGGAAGAATAATATTTACATCGTTGCGACGCCATTTTATTGATACAATTCCCAAACCACCAAATAGAACTTGTCTAATTTGGGTACCATTGGGACCAAAATTTCCGACCAAATACATAATTGATTAGCAGGAATTTTATTGTGGGATTCAAAAATTTGGTCAAATTAGGGAGTTGCCCGAATTATTTAAGGAGCCTAAATTAGACAAGTCATAAATGTATATAGTTCGATAACTTTTTTGACCGTTTATAGCAAGCTAAACAAAAATGGCTAGACCTAGTTTTAATCACCCGCGTTCGGTTTATGGTTGTTGAAAATAGATCTTAAACTTTTGTTAGAAAACGTAAATAAATTAACTCGAGACCTCATTGCTCAGCGGATTTTCTGACCCAAATGAACCGATTTTCATAAATTAGACTCGTCTATATTAGTTAGGGAATAATAAAAAAATATACCCTCTTTTTTTCAAGAGGGCTAAAAAAAACATCTCCAGTCTATCAATACTCAAAAAATAAAATATGAGCGAAAAGATTTTTGGAGTGACAGGCACAGTTAAAGATTCTATTACTATTATATTTTACCCGATGATATACAATAACACCTAGACTGGCGATGCATTCATAATAATGCATTCGAAAAGCGTCGTTGAATGCAAATCAGCTGGACCCGCCATTTTGGTAACCCATGAAAGTAATTATTCTCACGTTAAAAACTACTATTAAAATAATACTCGGTGATCAGGCGATTCTTTAATAAAGTTTGCGTCAGACGTGGGAATGAATTGGCCTCTCGTTTAAAATTTTTAATAACGATACGGGCAACCAAAATGGCGTCCCCAGATAGCGTTTAGTTTCAATAAATTAAATCAAAAATTTTTTATTTTACATAAAAAAAATTCAATATAAAATTGATAAATTTAGATATATTTAATAAAATTTACAAGATCCGACCCGACCCGGCCCGAAATTTTTTTAAAAATATTAGGCCTGGCCCGGCCCGATTAGTTTAAATAGAATTAGGTCCGATCCCGGCCCGAACCCGATTATTTTAAATAGAAATAGGTCCGATCCCGGCCCGAACCCGTTAGGACCGGGCCGGGCCTATCTTTGCAGATCTCTAATTATTATTATTATAATGTCATTGATTTTTACCATACTCATTAATAAAATTTAGTTCGCGTTTTTTTTTTATCCCTAAATATTTAGGTTGTTTATCTTAATTTTATAAGATACAAATCGTGGTTTTAATTTAATTAGAATCATTATTTTTAATTAGAAATAGTAAGTAGATAGTGGGTGGGTAAATTATATCTCGGTGTAAATATAAGCATGATAAAAAATAAAACTACCATATGTAGGCAACTGTTAAATGGTTATTATAATAATTATATAAATTAAAATATTAGACAACATGATTATTAATAAAATGATAGTAGTTTCCATTTATATTAAATATCTTTCTAATTAATAAATTAACGAGGATGGGGAGGGGGGGGGGAATAGTGAGCAAAGGAAGGGGTATAGAGTAAGGGGCGTAATAGCAATTTATCGTAAAGCGTTATAATTATACGTAGCGACGAGAGAATACAGAATCGCGTAAATACGTTGGCTACACGTATCGATATGGTCTCCTTCCTTACTTTCGATTTAAGTCGAGAACGAAAAAACTTAGCACGTGATCTTATAATCTAATTATATGATAACCTCCACCCCCCTTTTCACCCTAGAAGGAAATTAAAAATTGGGTATCGACCAATGACATATAATAATACCTAGACTAACGATGCATCCATTAAAAGTGTACATAAATGAAAACAGCTGAGGACGCCATTTTGATTACCCATATCATTATTATTAATTTTAAACGAGAGGCCAATTTATTCCTAAGTCTGACGCAAACTTTATTAAAGAATTGCCTGATCATCGAGATAATAAGGAAGCAAATTATCAAATTTAATAGTAGTTTTTTAACAAAGAGAATAATTACTGTATGGTTTACCAAAATGGCGGATCCAGCTGATTTGCGTTCAGCGACGCTTTCAAGTGCATTTTTATGAATGCATCGTCAGTCTACGCATTATTATATGTCATTGGCCTCGACTCGGCACCAAACAACTAAAACATTCTATAATAATCCCTAACGAATGCCTATGACAATATAGTGGGATTTGAAAAGGAGGGTAAGGGCAATTATAAAAGAGGATGATGTGACATGTGACAATGGTTTTCTTTTTTTTTATTTGGACCATAATATTTTCATTGCAACACCGTTATAAGTGGAAGAAAAATATGATTATAATCGCGGCCAATGTTTTGCGTTTACCTTACGGGATCAATAATCCTCATATCGATCAATCAACTTCAACATATCTCTCAAAAAGTTAAATATTATTATATCAAAAACAATATTTAAAAAAACCCAGATGCTTAGCAGACGAAATATATTATATAAGCCAGAACAATTATCTATCGATGATCAAACCTTCAAATCAATATTCAGGATAATCATTTGTGATTGATTTCTAATAGTGAATTATCATTTTTTTTCCAATAGTCGTCTAGTGGATGGAAGATGCGAAGAATTGGGAAGAATAAATATCACTTATTTAAAAAAAAAATTTTTTTAATGGATTTCCAGAGACTAATATTTAAATGACAAATTGAATTCGATTGACACGATAAATAAAAATTTTATTTTAGCATTTTAAAATTAGCGGAATTAATCAATCAATCAATCACAGATCATCTTCTTAGAAGTGAAAATGGATTTAATTTTAATAAAACAATAAATAAGTTTATCAATCAAACTCAAAATGCATTTTATTCACAATATTTGATGAGGTAAACAAAAACGGGAAGGAATTTAAAAAAAATAATGGTAATTAAATTTTGATTTTATACTTAGAGAAGGCGTCGTCGAAGCGTTTAGCGTGCGGATCGAAGATAACTGCCCTAAACCGATTAACGTTTGTAATAGTAACGCGTAATACGTAGTGTAATACAAGGCTAAGAAATATTCCATTAATTATGCGATTTCCTCACCACTTCACATAGAAGAATCTAAAATGTCGTTAATCCTGCCTGTCATAGTTGTCCGAGTAAATGGTTAGAGGGGGGTTAATTAAAGGTTCAGTTTACTAACTATAATATCCGCGCACAGAGGTTTATAGAAGTCCTAATTAGGTACATGATATTTCTTACTAATATTCTTACATTACATTTGTTTTTTTAAGTTTAACACAGTTTTCTTTTAATAGAAAGTTTATAACAAATTATGTGAATCGATATTTTTTTTTGTTTGTACGTATCTTAAAATGGGACGAGAAAAAAAAGAAAAACTTTTTATTTTTGAGAGATAAAATTAAATTGTTATATTTTATGTAAAAAAAACAAATTTATATTTTTTTTCGAGGAGTTATTATGTAACATTTGTGTATAAGCTAAGATAAAATTAATCATTAAACCAATAGTATCAAAAAGTAAATCGTTTAAAGTTATTTGTGGTCAAAGATAATGTGTCATCCATTGATTTCGGCATATTGAATAAAGAATTCCGCGAATAGAGTTATTTTCGCGCCAATTTTTTTTTACTTTTTCGGATTATTGGAATGGCCAAAAATTAATATTCTATAAATATTTTTTGGATAAAAAAAGAAGGAAGAAATTATTAAAAATAATAAACCTAAGTAAAAAATAAAAAAATTTAATTGATATGTTATAATGAATGTATGTTAAAAGAAAAACAATAAAATACTATATAATATAGTTAATGTTTAACACGTTCGGTTATTTTTTTTTGGTACAGAAACTTTTTATCCTTTAAAATTTTTTTTATTATTCATAAAAAATTATATTAAATAACTTTAAAAAAAAATTTTTGGTAGTTAGAAGGAAAAAGCATATTTAATGGATTCAATATGTGGCATTAGACTCTTATCTTTATAGTTTAGTTTATATATACATATAATATACAGTAAGATTGATATTTATATAATTTTTGAGTGATAAATGTAGTAATATATATAATTCGGTTTATTTTCCTTTGTGAAGTAAAAGATCAACTTTTATTAATATATTTTTTTTTCTTACAACAAAAAAACCACTTAATTTTTATTTTATCGTCTGATTCTCTGTTATAAGTATCGTATGGTTTGGAAAAACCACTTCGATTTTCGTAATTACAAAAAAATATATATAATATATTTTTGGATAATAAGGTAAAACTTTTTTAAAATACATATCAAAATTAAATATAAGTTTTTTAACTTTAAAGAAGGAAGTTGTCATGCTTTAAAAATAATTATTTTTGCATAAATTATATTTGAATATAACCCAAAACATTTAATAGAGTATATTTTTTTACAGAAATCGAAATATAATTATTAAGTAAGAACCGGACCGTAGTTTTTGCCCGATCCGCCCCGGTTTTATTCGATCCGGATAAAACTAATACTTTTAAAAATGAGAAAACCGCATGATGGTTTAGGAGAACCCTCTTTTTAAATTTACTATTTTAATTGCTAATTCATTCTAAAAAAAGTTAATTCCATCGTGGAAAAATTGTCCCTTTTAAAAATCTAGATTCTTCTCGAACTAAATTTATCCTTTAATCAATGCATTATTAGGTAAGCCAAGATTTCCTAGCAATGCTATAATGACAACTAGCATACAGAACTCCAAAGCGCGATCCTAAATAATGGAACAGTAAATTAGGATGATTATATTTTATTCTGCCTCTTAACGGGGGGGGGGGGGTCATTAACATTAAAAATACTGGCCCATCAGGCCGGAAATAATATAATATAATAAATTAATATTTGCATATTATAATCAAATTAATGGATAAAAGGGGATGAAGAGGAGGGGGGGGGTCATTTTTTTCGGACACCCCTATTATTAAAGGCATGTGTCTATAAGGTGGATGAAATCGATAATATAAAAATGCTTTAATTTTTTTTTTTTTCCTTCAAATATTTCAAAATATAAATCATGTAATTCGTGTTCAATATAATCATTCATGAATTTTATGGGCGTCTATATTTAATTATATATAAAATATTTAACTTAATATATCGATTCAAAAAAAAAAGACTTTTAAATAGTACTTAAAAATCTTTTGAATTGCAAAAATAATCCCATTTAACGTTTAAATATTTAGTCCAATTTTGTATCCTTCTCCCACTCCTCCCATCCTTACATTTACCTAAGAAAAATATATTAATTAATCAGTTCAGTAAAAGAAATGAGTAATTTATTAATTATAGTATCATACTCAAAGGCGAAACAGAAACCCTCGTAGGGCGGGGAAGGTCCAAAGTAAAATTTTTACAGATACAAAAGCCTCAATTTATGAGGAGAGTCCCAAGTCCAATAAGATTCCCTGTTTTTTAAGCGGGGGAAGGCAGTGGGGAGGGGGGGGGGGTTCCCAAGAGTTTTGCGTTACGTTTGTGGATATACGAAAGCCCTGTATACCTGTTTTTTAAGGAATCAACCGATTAGTTTATTTTTAAAATCATAATATCGGATTTATTATCTTTAAAAAATAATCCCAGGATTGAGATCTGAGATCCGCTCTGGAAAAGAAATTTCTAGAAGGAAAAAAAAAGAAGATAGTGCCAGAGGAAAATAAAAAAATTTTCTTGCACGAAAACGAGATAATGTGAAAATATTCTCAAAGTTCTAATCCGAAAAATTTAAAATAAGGGTTTTTCAATCCGAACCGTGTCAGAGAAAATGTCTGCCAGAGTGCGACAGATCCAAGTTCGGTCAAAAAATTATAGTTCCATTTCTAAAAGACATATCACTTGACAAATGAAAATGAAATGCAATAGCAATTGCCGTGACGTGAGGCGATAGTGAATTCAATTAATATTTTTCATAAAATTTTATATGACAATTATTATTGTCTTTTGGCAAATAAAGAAGAATTTTAAATGCCGAAATCGTTTTAAAATGATTTTTGGATAGATGATTTTATAAATGATAATATTAATTGAAATCTTTTTTTTTTATCTTGCGATTCGTGAATCAATTAATTTCGTTTTCCCTAGTGGAACATCATAAATTTGATAATTTCAAAAATGTCTACAAACCATATAAGGCTTCACAAATAAAAAAATAGAAAGTAATCAGTGATTGTAATTAAATTCCTATAAGTAATGTCATATAAAAGAAAAAAAATCCTTAGTTTTGCCATTGATTTAGATGTCAAATGATTAGATAATTAATATCATTTTAAACTCTTGTAGATGAGGGATTCTCTTAGGAGATAATTTTTGGTTCGGGTTGAGACATGTCAATCAAAACATTTTAAAATCATGTGGAATATATAAAATAAATGTTACGTGATCATTTAATTTTTTTTTTTAAATTTACCCCAGCAAAATATCAAAATAAGTTAAAATTTGTTTTAAACTCGATTTACTAAACCTATTTATGGATAAATCATGTGTTCGATTCGAGTTTACCAAAATGTCAGAGATATTATCTTTTTTGTGTTCGCAAAACTTTCGCATATTCGGTCAAAGTTTTTTTTCGGTTATGTGTGGGTAGCGAGGAACTAAAAACAATTAATTTTAAAAAAAGGTTCTGTACGGATCAAATAGTTTACTATTCGTATTCGATTAGAAAAATTACGAATAGTAAATATGATTCATCCGTTAAATAAATCGGATACGAATAATTCGTTATTCAATTCGTATTTGAGTAGACCTAGTCGTTACTCAAATACCGGTTTTTTCTATAACAATATAATGAAAGTATGCGTAGTGGAGGAGGTACACTTATAATTATTATAATGATAGTAGGCTGGGGTCAATTAATCAGATTTTTTGGTTCATTAAAGAAGGTAAAAGCAAATAAAATAATTAATCATAATAAAAGGAAAATTGACTATATTCGCTAAATTAAAATTAACGAACTCAAAATTAATTAAAAGTATAATTATTTTATTTTTTTAATTTACATTAGTAGAGTAAATATTTTAAAATTAATATATATATTATTTTTTTAAATTAAATTCCGGTATTTTTCGAGGAATAAAAAAAAATGATAAAATAACGAATCTCCAGCTGATTTACTTATTGATAACCTTTCTTTTCACACAACCACAAAAAAACCATTTTATAATAATGGATATTTTATATATATATAAAAATGTTTATATTTAATAAATGTGTAATTTATGAATATTATGGCATATAAGCATGAAGGAAAGGGAACAACGATATAAATTATATGAAGGAATATATAATATTTTTAAGGATGAGGGGATTACAAGCATTTTTTTTTAATAGGATAGTTTAGATTATTATTTAATGTTAAATAAATATAGAAAGGGAAGAAATGAAAGGAGGGTTATTGACATAACAATAATAATACATTAAATACAAAAGTATTTTTGTACCAAATTTATAAATAAATTATCATAATAAAAACTTATGTTGTTAAAATTACCTCACTTTGACCATCTCTATTGTGACTTTAGTCAAGCTTTTTAGCCTAAAAAAAAATTGAATTAAGACTCTAAGTTGAATCTCAACTTGAAGATTGATTCGAATATTTTTGGATAAAAACGTATAGTTACGCTGTTTTATAGTTGGCTAAAGTTAGGTTAGTTTTTTAACGACAACACTAATAAAACTTTTTCGTTTTCTTTTATTTCTTTTATTTTTTTTATTAGGCTATTTATTTGTAATCATCATCATAATAATAATAATGAAATGATAAAATAATTTTTAAAATCAGTATATTTTGAACGTTTCATTAATAAAAAAAGATAATTTATACAAAAAATTTAATTATAAATATATGATAATTTAATTTAATTTTTTTAAGATTAGGGGTGGGTAAAAAAAAAATCATGGATTTTTTTAAAATAATTATAAAAATCAAAAAAATCGATTTTAACGATTTTATAATCTAATCATTTTTTAAATATGAGCCCTATAGTAAAATAACCGCAGGAAAATTTTTATCAATTAAATGCGTTCATTTTTATTACATTTAGTTTTTCCTGGTGTTGTTAAACGGCTCGTTTTGAGCCGATTTTTAAAAACGGCTAACTCTATACTTCATCCAGAAAAATATTGAGCAAGCCTGGAGATTTTGCTCATAGAAGGAACAAGGTTCTAGACATAATATTATCGAAATCTTGAGGTTTAGGCAATATTTTTCGGGCTAAAATATTGAGTTAACCGTTTTTAAAAATCGGCTCAAACCGAGCCGTTTAACAACACTAGTTTTTCCTACGAAATCTATGAATAAACTATATTTGTAAAAACAATATTGAATTGACTACTATTGTAAAAACTATCAATTATTTATATTTTGTCCATCCATAC